GAGAAACAAATGATGTCTCAAGTGAAATTGATCCTGAAAGCTAGACATAAGAATGTGGCCATGCTGTTGGGTTCATCTGTAGAAGAAAGTCAACTTCTAACTGTATATGAGTACGCATGCAATGGTTCACTTGACAAATATCTATCAAGTAAGACTTATGATCCAATAATGCGTCTAGAATTTTAATATCTTTATAACCTTATCCTTTGAATTTTGATGGATATTTCAATGTGTTATAGTAAAGGAACTTTCTCAATCATGCAGAGAAAAGTTGCAGGCCATTAAGCTGGAGAGACAGGGTGAAAATAGCTGTAGGTGTCTCCAAGGGTCTAAAGTACTTACATGATAATAACATAATTCATGGAAGTATAAAGCCAAGTAACATTCTTCTAAACCATGAGTTTGAACCGATGGTACATACTTAAACCTTAATAGCTTGGACTTGGAAGCCAAGACGTATTATTTTTGTCTTAGTTACTATTGAATCTTTATTTTCTCATCAATCTAACTTCTATATTGAATGGTAAATATATATTTAGCTTGGAGATTACAGCTTCGGGAGAGCAAAACGTGAAATGAAAAAGTCCCACAAGGACAAAAGTTTAGGATACACAGCACCAGAGTGTTTGGAGAGGTGGAAATTTACAGCCAAGGCTGATGTATACTCCTTTGGAGTGGTTCTTTTAGAGCTTATCACTGGTCAGAGAGCTACGGACAAAATGCCAGGAGAGAAAAGCCTTGCTGAATGGGTAAGAGACGAGCAACTTCTGGTCATTTTGAATTTTTTAGGGTGATCAACTTTGTCCTCTGATTGCTGAGAATATCAAAAGTACATGTTCGGGCTCAACACCAGTTTATTTATTTATTTATTTTTAATTTTTGAAAAGCTCATCATCAGGCTTCTTTTCTTGTGATGCTATTTAATCCCATGTAAACTCTTGGATCTGCTTTCATGCACAAAGACCTCATAACAGTTGGGACAGCAACCTTCTTTGATCACATACTTCTGTGATTGCTGCGCACTAAAATCCATGACCTTAGAAAGTAGCTCACAATTGTTATGGACCATTTTAGATTTAAGCTTTAACTCTGGTGCTTCTTCCAAGTCATTCCTTTTATGTTTATGCTGTAGAACCCCAGTACTCGCTGCTTTAAAGTTTGTCCTATATTCCTTATTGGATGCATGAAGTTTTAGTAGGGAAGAATTCAAAGAGATTAAGATAGAGTTACCCTTTATTTAGACCTAATAAAGCTTAAATCTGGATTAGTTAGTAGTACCGGGTATTAGACATTTAATTTATACAAAAAATGGAGCTAAAAATAATGGAGGCAAAGAATCCTTGTAAAATAGCCATTAGTAAAGGTCAACAAAGAGACTAAGATAACCATTTCATTGATGGAAAAGATTTATCCCTGAAAATATGAGATTAATCTCTATAGACTTTGTGTTTTATTTTAAAACATGCAAACTTTATCATTTTCTTTTTATCTTATGTTTCAGGCAAAGCCTCTTCTTGGAAGAAAGAAGTATCCGCAATTGGTGGATTCCACCATTGGAAGCTCCTATGAAGAAGAACAACTTCACTGGTTAGCCCAAGCAACAGAAAAATGTCTCAAAAAGAATCCACAGGAAAGATCGAGCATGAATATGGTGCGTATCCATGATTAAATTTATGTCAATCACTAGGTGAAAATTAAAGGAGGAAGAAACATGTTGCATGTACTCAAATTAACTGTTGGCGATGAGTCATTAGACGTGAAAGATCTCTATGGCTTGTTATTGAATACTCAAATTACTTAAAACTGAAACATTGAATTATGAGGTCTGAACTCTGAAGGGTGAGCAAATAAAAAGATTACAAGGCTAGCGATGTATAGGTATAATCTCAAATCTCACTCAAAAGCCTAAAATATTGACAAAGAGCCCAAGAAGTACTTTTGTTAACTACGAACATTTTGAACTAGTTTTAATATATGTGTACATTTTAGAGAAATGATACAGTCATAATATAGCCAGACCTGAGGTTCATAAACATGGATTCTCTCCGAATGAAAAATGATATCGGCGCTTCATCAAATTAAAGATAAAAAATTAGGCGAATTAATGAACAAGATATAGTACTCAGTTTTGGTGCTCCTTACAAACTTATCCAATTAAAGACGGTCTAAAATTTCACTGATTGGTTCATTCCCAGAAGAAGTTAATATTGTCCTAATTTTGCAATTTTATGGTTATAAATTGTCAACATACCATTGACACATAATTTCAGGTTGTCTCTGCATTACAAGGAATGGCGGATAGCGATGACGACTGTGTCACTGTAGACTTCCCTCCAGAAATTTCAAATTCAACATGCGTCATATCAGACGTTACTTGCTCACAAGGTAAAGAAGAATAAAACTAGGACAGTATAGCTTAAGCAAAAAGATAAATAAGGAAAGCAAGAGGTGCTCAAATTGCAGTCGAATTAATACAAATTTGTAGGGTTAGATACCTTGAGGGAAAAGGTGAATCAGCAAATATAGGAGCAAACAACTTGTAGAGGAATGGACAGAGAATATTCAAGACAAAGCAGCTTATGAGTTTGATAATTTTCTTTTAGAAATGGTACATTCTCATATGTTAATCACGGAATCATTTATATTTTAGATGTCATAATCAAACATATAATACAACCAAATAAGAAATTACAAATAAGCAAAATCCCAATCAATGTAAGATCCTGGCAGCTTAATTTGAAAATGTCTCAGAATCAATCTTCAGGTAAAAGGACGTGTTAAGCATATAAGTTTCAGGCAAGAGTGGCAAAATACCTTTTTCAACTTATTGAAAATTATTGGATATCGTATGTTCGTTCTGGATATCTTTTAATAAATTGTAGAAAAATGTTTTTACCAAATGAGAACTATATGATAGGTCAAACAAAACCTGTTCAACTGACTGAGGAAAACCAGATCAAGAGCTGCCACTATGGAGAAGAGATGAATTCAGAGATAACAATTGAGGATAATGACATGTTATATCATAGCAAAGTTGATCATCCAAGCCATGGGGACGAGAAGATTCTAGAAAAGGAGAAAAGAACAAACCATATGGAGGCTTTGAAAAAAGTCGATACACTACATCTGGATCAAGGACAGAGCAGTTTTACTAGAGATGAGACAACTATTGGTCAAATTACAGCTGATAGAAAAGGAGATGTGCTGAATCAGCATCAGGGAGCAGTAATTTTGGATAGTTCAAAATCATTCGTATGCTCAATTTGCAAAAGTAGACGCTCAAATATAGGATATCAAAGAGACTTCACTTACAACGAGCTTGAAGCTGCTACAGGTAGATTTTCATTTCAGAACTCTCTATCTGAAGGTGGAAATGGACCAATTTTCAGGGGCATTCTAGATTGTAAGCTGAAAATAGCTGTGAAGATGCATCAAATAACTGATTCTGGGGAAGAAGATATGCTTAAGTCAGAGGTGCAGTCGCTCACTAAAGCTATACATAGAAATGTGGTCATGCTATTGGGTTCATGCACAGACAAAAATCAACAGATGCTTGTGTATGAGTTTGCATGCAATGGTTCACTTGACCAGTACCTATCAAGTACGGATCATGTTCAATTATAGATTCAGAACCTCCTCATAAATGAATGTTAAACACTTTTTGTAGGGAACTTGGCTAAGACTTGAAATTGATGCATAGAGAATTTCTGCATTATACAGGGGGAACTTGCGGATCATTGACTTGGAGAGAAAGAGTAAAAGTAGCACTTGGTACCTCTAGAGGTCTAAAATACCTTCATGATATTAATATAATCCATGGAAGTATAAAACCAAGCAACATTCTTCTGACCCATGAATTTGAACCTCTGGTACTTGAACCTTTGTGACTGTAAACTTAATTTTTCATCTGTCTGACTTGGGAAGCAAGTATTCCTTAACGAACTGACTTTTTACTTTGAATGGTGCATACAAGCTTGGAGATTTTGGCCTAGGAAAAGGAAAACAGGAACTGAAATCCCACAAAAACAAAAATGTAAGTTCTGAATACACAGCACCAGAGTATTTGGAGAGAGGGAAACTATCACCTAAGATAGATATATACTCCTTTGGCGTGGTTCTTTTAGAACTGATCACTGGCAGGAGAGCTACTGATAAAGTACCTGGAGGGAAGAGTCTGGTTCAATGGGTAAGGGACACATGCTGTTATTTGAATCACAAAAGTGGTAATAAGTGATTTTTATTTTTCTACGTGTCTGAGAATATCTGTACAAAGAGCTTCTCCTTATTGCCTTTCTTTTCTCCAAACAAATTTATCAGGAATATATAAAATTTTAAATTCTTTGCTAGCACTTACATACATGCTTTTTTCTATGTTTTCATAATGTCCGTATTGTTGCAGGAGGGATTTATTCATTGATCATCTTAGTTGTACCGTCCTCCATGATTTGTCAAGATTTCTGTATAAGAACTAACAAATGTGATGAGTAAAAGTAACATGTCGTGTTGAATTGTTATGTTAAAATTATAGTTGGTCTTGTACTCATTCTGTCATTTTGTAGTAAATGCTGTCGAACAGCCCCTCCACAGTTATATTTCTGTGTTATTTTACTCCCCAACAAGACCGTTGATATCATCCTGTGAAAGAAACTAGGCGTCAATATATACATATATGCTATTTTCAGTCGAGAACTAGTTGACTAGGTTTGATAGATTAAAAAAATTAGTTAAGTTAGTTATCTGTTACAAATGTATTGTCTTTTCTAAAATATCCTTGCTAATCATATGTATTAGTTAGAACTATCATTTGATGAAACCTTTGACATATATAATTATTACAAAGACTACTTGGAGAAAAAAAATAAATAAATATAAGAGACAAAGTGGATTCGGGGTCTTATATTTAGTAAATTAAATGTCAAATTAACCTTTATATTAATATTAAGGACTAGAGGTAGTATTTCACAACATACGCAGATGGACTGATTTACTCGACATACTTTATGGTTCAAGAACTTCGATGCTTTATTTTGTCACCGAATTTGTTACATATTTCTGTGATCCCCTTTTTCCAGGCAAAGCCTCTTCTTGGAGGGAAGAAGTACGCCCAACTGGTGGATACTAAAATCAGCAGCTCCTACAAAGAAGACCAACTTAAATGGTTGGTCCAAGTAACAGAACAATGTCTCAGAAAGAATCCCAAGGAAAGATCAAGCATGAATGTGGTAAGTCTCAATGATTTAGAACATGACTAACAGGAAGGGCAAAATAAAGAAAGAGCAGGACATGGTAATCCATACAGTGGGACTATGGTTGTGTATCGACACAACATAATATCAGATAGCTTTAAATACCCATGAACTGAAATTCATAAAGAAGCTAAGGAATCCGGCCTTTACCACATATGGTAAGAAGAAAGAATTCTCTAAATCAAAGTTCTGAAGTTATGCCTCGGGCCAGGTATATCACAGTACAGAAATCAGACTGCAAATCAAAGCAATCATATTCGTCTTTATAACCCCAAAATGTCAAAAGACCCCAATAACCTTCAAACAGCCCAAGCTACGTCCTTCAACGCTGAACTTGCAGAAGTAACGTTTGGATCAAGAAATGAAAAGATACTTTACAAGTAAAAGATATGAAAGGATGCAGTCCATGCAGTCCAAAGATCAAAGAATACATCTAAATGATCACAGTCCTAATTTCAATGATGTTGTAAATTTACTTTTATTTTCTTCTATTCAAGTTAGACAGAAAAGAAATTGAGAAATTCCTGATTTCATATAAACAAAACTGTTTGTCAGAAAAATTGAACTCGGTTTAGGACTCTTTCCCAGCACAACCTCTTACCCTTCTCATTCCCTCAAACCATCGGATGTACAATTTTATATCTATACATTGTCATCAACATAACATTTGACATTGATTGTATGTTTACTTGGACCATTTCAGGTTGTCTCCGCATTACAAGGCATTGAAGATACTGATGATTTATGTGCAGTTGAAGACTCTTCTGCAGAAAAATCATCTATACAGCTGTCTGTTCCTGATATGACCTGCTCACAAGGTAATGACAAAAAGAAAACGGCACAGGTAAAAAGACAAATTTACAAAAGTAAAAGTAAATAAACAACTAGTGCTGGACTGAATTAGATAAACTAAAAATAAAGGCGAATACACAACTTCTGCTGAAATGAATCAGAAAGTTCAGGAATCCTAAGGACCATGGTAGAGGACAAAAACCAGGAGTTTGTAACGTATGGTGGACCTGTGGTTTTTTCTTCAACTGGTAAGGGAAATGTCCAAAATAACAGTTTATTCATTCAGTCATATCAAGCAACGATGGTATTAGTTTCTCTACTCATAATAGCACAAAGTGATTTGGGCTGAACATATAAGAGGACTTGGAATAATTATAAGTAGTAAAATCAACAGAAAAGAGCACTGTAACAGTCATGCAGCTTATGAAATAATAATACTAGGCTTTCTAGGTGGAGAGGATCTTTTCAACATGTCAGTTTTATCCATATGTAAGAAAGGATAGTTTTCATCATATTATAACCCATTCAATTAAAATTTAGATTGCAGAATATTTTATTTCTGTATCTTGTATTTCTACCTGAATCCCCTAAGAAAAAACTGGTAGAAACAGATCTAATGAAATTGACAACTAGATATGTCGGAAGTTCTGCTTTCTTTGTTTCCTTTTAGAACTTCTTTTTTCTAAAGGAGGAAGGAATGTCTTGATTATAATGATAGTCAAACAAAGGTTGATAAGCTAAGTCGGGAAGGAAAAAATATTGAAAGCATCCCGTATGTGATGGAGAGGAGTTTAAGACTAATAATTAGAAATAATGACTTAATAGGTCTCAGAAATGCGTATAAGCAGAATCCGGATGAAGAACAGATCAGCAATATTCACATGATGTATCACATGAAAGATGATCAGATAAGCCAGGACCAGAACTGTACAGAAGGAAGCCTCCAAATAGAAAAGAGGGGCACAAGACTCACAACTTTGAGTAACCAAATTGCAAGAGAAAATAACGATGAAGAACAAACTCAGTGTAGCTTTTGCGGAGATTCATTGGATAATTGCAAAGTCAAAGTCACGTTAAAGGATTCCAAATCTTCTGTATGCTCTGTCTGCAAAAGTAAACGTCCTCATTTTGGGTGGCAAAAGGATTTCTCTTATGATGAACTCCATATGGCTACTGATGGGTTTTCAATTAAGAACTCTCTAACTGAAGGTGTATATGGACCTTCGTTCAGAGGCCAGCTGAAGTGCAATCTGAAAATAGTTATCAAGCAACTTCAAATGACAAGCTCTCAGGAAGAGAAGATATTTAAGTCAGAAGTTCAGTTCCTCTTTAACGCTAGACATGAAAATGTGGTCATGTTGTTGGGTTCATGCATAGATAAAACTAGATTGCTGATTGTATACGACTATGCATGCAATGGTTCGCTTGACCAGCATTTATCAGGTAAATACATTTACAACTTTTTGTCTGCAATGGAGCTTGAAGACTTTATACTTGGACCTTTAGTGAAGATGTAAAGTTAATGGAAGGAAACTTGTGCAATGTGCAGGACAAAGTTGCAGATCACTGACATGGAGAGAGAGGGTGAAAATAGCAATAGGTTTATCCAGAGGTCTAAAGTATTTGCATGAGAAGAATACAATTCATGGAAGTATAAAACCAAGTAACATTCTTCTAACTCATGATTTTGAAGCGCTGGTACTTACTTGAACTTGATAGCTGCAAAATCTAAGTTTTAATCTGAATAGGCATTTCATCATCTCAGCTTTTAACTTGTATTTTGGATGATACATAAATCTATAGGTAGGAGATTTTGGATTTGGAAAATCCAAAAATGAATTGAAGAATTGGAGCAAGAAGAAAATGGTTGAGAATACTGGATACGAGGCTCCAGAACTTTTGGAGAGTGGAAAATTCTCAACTAAGGCAGATGTGTACTCTCTTGGTGTGGTTCTTTTAGAGCTGATCACCGGGCACAGGGTTATGGATAAAGTTTCAGGGAAGAAAAGTCTTATTGACTGGGTAAGAGCCATGATTTTTTTCTAAAAGTTACAAGCCTAATTAGTATTATATAAAAGTATTATCTTTGCTTCGCCCTTTTTCTTAATAATACTTTGTCCCAGCCCATCTAGAAAAATGTTTTGATTCTTCACTCTCATCCATTTTTTCTTCAGGCAAAGCCACTTCTCAGAGGAAGGACTTACCCACAATTGGTGGATCCAAAAATCGGCAGCTCCTACGATGATCAAGAGCTTTTTTCATTGGTCCAAGTAATTGAGAATTGTCTAAGAAAGAATCCAAAAGAAAGGTTAACAATGAATATGGTAAGGTTTATTATTTCTAATGGAGCAGTCCAAGTAGAAAATATCGGGAAAATAATCATTTTATGGTCATAAATTATCAGAAAACTATAGATAAATCCTTTGAAAATATAATGTCCAAAATTAGATACTGGATTCAACAAAAATGAGACTCCATATTAATTTCAAGATAAACAATGATCTCAGCCACACATTAAAACTGAAACTACTTTATGTCCTGCTCAAGATTTCACTTAATGTCCGATAATCTATATGAGTAGTGCATTGTGGTAATTTCTTATAGGCAAAGAGACTGAAGCACTTTTTCACCATGAAGCTTGATAGGGACTTTGTGACTTTGTTCTATTTAGAACTTTTTTCTTGTATTTCCTACGTAGAGGATTTCTTATTCTCTAACTAGAAGTTCCTTCTCTTCTTTCTCATGAAGTCTCTTCTTTTATCCAAAAGGGGGAAAAAAAGGAAACTAGTAGTGACTGGTGTTATCGGCATAATATATATTACAGGTTATCTCTGCATTGCCATGCATAGTTGAGAACAAACCTCCTTTAACTGAGGACCCCTTGATAGAAAAGCCACACTTCAAACGCCCTTTGAAAGATGAATCTGGCTCACAAGATCTCAGAGTATCACCACATGCAGCTAATTCAGAGGTATTTAATCAGTGAACTCAAGCACACACCAAAAGTGAAACTACTTCATGTCCTGCTTGTGGCTTCACAAGATATCCAATAATCGACATAACTAGTACATTGTGATGATATCTTGTACGCAAAGAGACTATAAAACTCTCCTATACCACAAAGTCTGAAAAGGACTTTGTTCTGTCCTGAGCTGTACCAAAAGTTCTTTCTATTATTTCTCATAAACTTTCTTCTTTTATCTGCAAAAAGAAAAATTGACTCATGTTATTCTCTTGATATATTGCTGACTATCCCTGTAATTGAGGACCCCATTGTAGAAGAGCTACATTTCGAACGCCCTTTGAAAGATGAATCTAGCTCACCTATCAAAGTATCACAAACAGATAATTCTGAGGTATTTAAACTATGAACTCAAAGACGCACCAAAGCTGAAACTACTCCGTGTCCTGCTGAAGTCTTCACATGATATCCTATAATCTACATTATTAGAACATTGTGATAATGTCTTGTATGCAAAGAGACTATAAAACTCTCCTGTAACCCAAAATTCGATAAGGACTTTGTTCTGTCTTGTGCTTTTTTCCCCCCTTTTATTTTCTAATTTCTAGATGGAAGATTTCTTATCCTCTAACCAGAAGTTCCTTCTATTATTTCTCATAAACATTCGTCTTTTATCACTAAAACGAAAAATTGACTAATGTTATTTGCTTGATATATTGCAGGTTATGCCGGTAATTGAGGACCCCATTTTAGAAAAGCCAAATTCCGAACTCCCTTCGCAAGACGAATCTAACTCGCATGATGTCAAAGGATCACCACAAGCAAATTACTTAATTGATGTTAATCAGGAAAGAAAGAACAATGAAACTTGTAGCAAAGATAATGAGGACACAAATGTTTGTCCAGAGAGCGCAGACAACATAACTCGTAATGAAAGAAATGTGGAGCCACAAGAAACAGGAAGACTGAGCCCTAAGATGCATCAGGAAAGTAAGAGGTGCATGCCATATGGTGGTGCCAAAAACTTTTATCTTGAAGGTGCCAAAGAATACATAGTAGATGAACAACTTTTTAGGTTATTGAGGTGATTGGTCTCGGATTCATGCTTATATTGCAAATTGATGCTATGATAGTCTACAGCTGTGAGTGTTGAAACAATTTTTGGGTCTGAACTCTGAAGTAATGAAACAATGTCATAAATATTCAGAAATAAATACTCAACTAATCATGATCAGTGCACACAAAATAGAACTGTATGCGTAGAAGGGGACATTAGCAATTTCCGAGGAAGTTTTTGCTCACCACAGTTCTTACATTGAAATGTCCTTCTGAGTTTTATTATAACTAGAGATTTGTCATCCATGCATATATTACCTTGTTTCTATATGCAAGTCTCTTGTAAGAGAAATGTTTGATCACACACACATATATATATAAATCACTTATAGGATAATTAATGATCTTTTTTCAATTTTACCCCTATTGAATACAATAAAGAAAATAAGTGAAAGAAAATGTCCAAGATATTTTTGTTCAATACCTTTTTTTCAATAGGGGCAAATATGATAAATTTTATCAATTTAATGTATTTCTTGGCATGCCAGTAAGGGATACAAGTGACTTGCATGTATGAACAAAGTGGAAGTTTCAAAGTTGGTGTAGATAGTATTGGTTAGCTTCTGTTTGGGATTTGAAGCTGATCTCGTATTATTTGACCAACATGTCAAGGACTCTTGCAGATTGAGCTCCTGCAACTGCATTTTAATTTTCCAGTTTTAAGTACCTGAAAGTTCGCATTATTATCTGTTCTGATTGCACCTATTTTTTTTCCTCTTTCTCAAAATGCAGCAGCTTAAAATTCTTGACTTATTAGCATTTGAATCATTGGAGAGTAGCTTGAACTTTGAACTTTGAAGAATTCATTTATATGTTATTATTAAAACTCGTTACGGTAGAACATGATATTCACAAATTATAACTAGTAATGCTCGCTGCGTTGGACTTGCGGCCCCTTATGCAATAATATGCGAAATATGATGTGATATAAAACAAATCTTTATATTTATATACTTATTTTTTTTTTGCCAACTTATATTTATATATTTATATTTTATAGAAAATTGATAGAAAGTATATTTATGAGTGATGAATAATACATGGCTTCTCTCCCACTTCATGTGCACGAAAGCTTCCCAATTTGGTTACGTGTGCCGGCTCGAAGAGTATTTATTTTTAATTTTGTAATTAAATTTTCAAATTCCGAAAAAAAAATATCTTAACTAATTGAGATTTGAGTCGATATTTACTGTTCATAATCATAAAATTATAATTATCATTAGGTAAAAAGACCAAAAGAAGACCAGTTATGCAATCACTTAAATCACGTTGATGGACTCTCTTTGGCCGAAAGAAACTCTATCTTTTTTTTTTTTTTTTTTTGCTTTTTTAAATCTACGGTTAGAAGCTTTTTTCATATATTACATAGATTTTTATTATAAGTTTTACAAACGATACATGGAAGAAAATAATTATTTATAATAAATTTATATTTTTAAGTTAGTTTCAATATACTTGTTAGATTCAGCGAAGAAAAGCTGGATTAAATAATTAAATATTCACAATATGCCACAATAATAGCTATAAATTGATTATCTTGGATGGGCAGAAGGCACCTAAGCTAACTTCATACCGCTTATTTTTAAAACCTATATTGAGCTAGATTAATGTTAAAATTACTACCTCTAGTTTAATACAAAGTTAACTAATTTGTAGATTAAAAAGTTTGTTAAGTAGTTATTTGTAAAAATAAGTGTTATTTTTTCTAAAATACTTTTACTAATTATGTGTATTATCTAGAATTACGATATGGTAAAATATTTAATATGCGTAACTGCTACAAGGATTATTTTGAAAAAAAATATAAATATAAGAGACAAAGTGGATTGGAGTTTTATATTTAGAACCGAATTGAATGTCAAACTAGCTCTTATATTAAGGATCGAAAGTAGTACTTTTCTTGTCCTAGACGTAGAAACTAGTTAGGAAATTGGTTTTGGTCTCAAATGTCATATCTTAATTCATTTTATTTATCATATTTATCATTTTTCTCATTTAATTTATCTAATTTATAAACCTATACATTCCTTTGATCCTAAATGTAAGACATATTTTGTACTATAATTTATATTGCAAAATGATTATACCACAAAATAAGTCTTACATTTAAGATAAAAGAAATATAATCTTTTCTTTTATTTAATCAAGGGTGTCTCTCTTCAAGACTTAGATAGGAAAAAGTTTTCGTCTCTTCCAACAAATATACTTCCAAGCATTTGAACTAATATATAATCTAATATTATATAAGAATATTTTAGAGAGATAATATCATATTTGTTAAAATTAAGTAATTTATTTAATTTTTTAAGTTATTCAAATTAATTAAATATCTCTTATATTAAAAAAAAAGAGCGGTGGTGCTTACAAAAGAAAAAGTAAAAGAATGCCAAATTGAAGTATGCACAAAGACCAACACACAACACAACCAGGAACAAAAAGAGTGGGATATTATGCATACATTTTATTACTTCCATTTAACTTTTTTTTTATCTCTATTTTTATTGATATATGCAAATGGCGTTATGATTTTGTTTGGGGGACTATCTATTATAGTCGACCACAAAACAAACTAATAAAAGCTCTAGACCGATAAAAATAGGTAAGGTTCTAGCTTGCAATTTGTTTTTTTAAGTTTGATTGCTCTGATCTAGTCTAGGGGACGTCAACATAAATATAAAACTATATATATATATCAAATTAGAAGGATAAAAATTACACTCTATTCTCTCTTTTTTTTCCCTTTCGGAAAAAATAATTTGAAAGTTCTTGTAGTTTTTACTAATTTTGAATTAGGTCCTTATGCATTTTCTTATTGGATACTTAAACTTTTCCTGTTAAATCTTTTAATCCTTGTCGTCAAATAGTTATTAAAACCATTAAAAATTTTGTCTATGAATAAGTGATACGCGCCTAAAACATCTCCCTCACCATCCTGCTTGACCCTGTTTGATTCATATATGTTTCTTAAATAATATATAATTATGATCATAAATTATGATTATTTGATTAAAGTTTAAAAATTAATTTCAAGTCGAGTGACATAAATGATAATTAATATACGTCATTTGTATTATTCAAATGAATGATATATAAATTGTGAGAGACTTAGTACTGTATTATTAAGTTGCTTAAATGTAAGATTGTTTATCTTATAAATAATAAATGCTTGATACAAGTTTGTTCACCCGTATTCAAATTGGTATCTTTTTATTAAACACCTAATTATTAACAGGATTAGGTTTAGTTAGAAGAAACTAGACGAACAAATATTTAAATCCTTAGTGGAAGAAGTGCTCATATTTAACATTTAATAGTATCTTAATATGATTGTCTTTAATAAAAAAAATACTTATGTCTAGAAAAAAAAATGCCTAGTTTGTGTTATAATTTTTCCTAGTCGTTATATCATTAAATATGCTTCAACGACGTCAATCACGTTGTCGTCTATATATATTGTTGGTATGAAATGGTTGCTGTTCTATGGTCTTGCATGGGCCCCTAGAATTTGCATGTGTAGTTTTTATTGTTATGTATTACTAAAAGTGAAAAATAATCATTAGTGGTCCAGGCCACATCATCATGATGTCATATATTCATGAATAAATGTTTACCAGCATCATAATCAAACATTGAGTACAAAAGTTCACATAAATTTTTTGAAAAGAGGTAAAAATATCATCTCTTCGTTAATTGCTCTAATGTCCTCTATATTTTTTTGCGGATCCCATTAAGCATTTAGGTGTCAATTCTTAGATGCTCTATTTCTTATCTCTGTCAACTCTTTCTTCTTCTCACTATTCTCCATCTTTAGAAGAGCAAAATCCAGTTTTGCAACCAAAATTCTTGATGGTCTCTTCCTCCTCTTTAACCAAAAAGATAATCCTGTTGGGGGAGATGAGAGAGAAAGCATCTAAGAGCTAACACCTGAGCACTTGGTTGGATACAAAACAAAAAAGAAAAAACGGCATTTAGATATGTATTTGTATTAGCGGTAGCAAAAATTAATTTTTTTTAAAGGAAAACCATATTGGAGGTACTTATACTTTTTTTCAATTTTCAATTTGGTACCTATGTGTTTTTTGTTCTTAACTAAATCTTTATTTTTCCTCTATTAACATCATTAATCCTTATGTAGAGACTAAAAATATCAATAGAACAAAGTTATAATAGCTAATGTTGCTAAAAAGATAAAATTAAATGTTTAATTAAAGGGAAAAAAACACATAGGTACCAAATTAAAAATTGAGAGAAAGTATAGGTACCTTCAATATGGTTTTCTTTTTTTTTAATACAAGCAAAGGTGATTTTTACTTTATCTGGTTTTTGCAAATTTAAAATAGAATAAAAGTCAAACAGTATAATGTAATTTATATTTAGATTGACTCTTGTAAAAAAGTTAGTTTGACAAATTAAAATTTGTTTCGATGATTAATTGAAAAGCAAGTTTAAATATAAAATGATTAAAAAGCATATGAATTTTATTAAATAAATATTTATACACACAATGTGCTAATTTTAGGAGAAATATAACAATTAAAATTATAGAAATAAAGTTGTTAAGGTACTATTATATTGGAAAAAAACTGTAAATTAATACTAAAATAGTTAATTATATTTATTTAATGTGATTTTTTGTGACAATAGTTAATGTGATTTCTATACATATGTCATTAAATATTAATTTTCGAAAATTTTATTATTTAATTTTTTTAGGCTATGCAACTATGAAATTATTGGGTCTTTTAAAGTTTATTCTTTTATTTAAAGTGGGGGGAATTTTTTTTCCCTTTTTTTTCCTCCTGATTACTCCATTCTCCATCTTTTATTTTATCATGGAAACACTTTTTTTTTTGGGTCATTTTTCTCCAACGCTTTCCTCCTCTCTCCATGGTGATACTTGACTTTTGCTTTCTTTTTTTTCAATGCATAGGTACTGATATTTTTATTTAAAATAGTCTTGTTCGATGTATTGTTAAGTACTAAATATAAACCTCTTCTCATAAAGATTCTAATTCGTAAAAACCTTAAGTAAATAATATATAAAAAAAGTCCACATGTCTCAATTTAGTTGGAAATAAAAACCTTAAGTATATAAGTTTTTCCCACAAATAAATAAATAATTTTAAATGGCTAAAGTTTGATCCCAATTCGCAAACTGTAGAGTATAAACTGTTCGAGGCGCAGCAATTATATTGGATAACTCCAAATCGCTATATAAGAAGTTTTCTTTTAAGCTCTTTGGCAATAGGAAAAAAAGGTTTTATTTAAAGCTAAGTTCAACAGATGCAGATACAGTTTATATCAATTAATACTTGTCTCTAATTTAATTAACGCATTGATTAAAACTTCTCAGTATTATCGTTTCAGATTTTGAAACCGATACTGACCCAGAAAATTTTTTTTTTAAAAGGCGACAATGCACATTAATATAGGGGTATATAAAAATATGAATGGGTTGGCCAAAAAATATAAAAGTATAAATGGGGTCCTCTACGCCGATATCTTAATTTTGGGGAAAATATTTACTTTCATGATAATATCTGTAAATCACTTCTTACATGTTTCACTTAGATGGTTAGACTAAGAAAATTCTTAACTCTACCTTAAATTTTAACAATTATTCAACTTTATTTTTATTTAATATAAAAATATGCTCTCCCTGACCTATTATAGGACCCCTGGTAGAAGGATTTTGTTTTTTGGTCTGTTTTATAAGACCCTTTGATAAATGCTTTTTTACCATGTAGACCTGTATTTAATAAGGATAGTAAGAAAGTAAAAAATTAATATAACGTTGAAATTTACTGTAGTTAATGAATGTAATATTAGAGATCACTTAAATTTTATAATAAATTGAATACTTTTAACTATTTTTCTTGGTATGTATAAATTAGTTAAATTATAAGGTTCTTGATAGTAATAAGCTGCAATACATTTTGAATTTTCATAGGAAGAAATTCTCATATTTAGTACCCAATAATACCTCGAACATAATTGTATTCAATGACAGAATACCTATGTTCTTAGAAAAAAAATGACAAAATAATATATTTATAACAAAAATTTACAATGTCGCTTATAAATAGTAAAAAAAAAAAAATCTTTTATCTCTCCTATTTTATCTTTCTTTAACTAAAATACCACATAAATTATTTTTAGATTTAAGCTGTACATACAATGCTTAATTTGCCTGTTTATGATCACTAAAAATATTTTTACATTTTACAGCAAGATAAAGGTTTTATTATATTTATTTTATACATAATGATAATATAAAATACTCAACCTAGCTAGTTCATTGGATAATAAATAATTATTAAGAAGTATAAATTTATTTTATTATGATTAAAAAATTTCGATGAATTAAACAATGTTGAGAAATGGTTCGCATCTTTTTTTGGATGTGATGTCTCTTTTGAGTTAGATAACATTAAAATTTATATAAAACATTTAATTTATAACAGATCACATCTTTCTGTTTTAGTTTTTTCCTAGCAAAATCACAACATTCACATAATTGTAAATATTTATGATTAATGTAACTTAATTTTTTTCCGGGTCGAAATGTAGCTTATTGTTCAAAATTCAAACCCACTGCAAAGTGCAATGTAACAATTCCGGTTCCTACGATAAGGACTCATATTCACATGTTAAGAAACTCTTTAAATATGTATTAAATTGATAAAAAATTTTAAATGTACTCTTAGGAAAAAATATTTTTTCTCTACATTTACAAATTATTATCACCTCTCTCCTATTTTTCTCTCTTTTCAACCAAAAGTAAATAGGGATGAAATTAGAAAACAGTCATTAATAACCCTTCAAATGACTCATATTTATAATCAAATTTTTCTCCTACAAATGACTTAATTATAATATGGATTGGAGTAATATTCACAAATAATAATAATTTAATAATAATAAAAGCTATTTAATACTAGGGAGTAGTGAGGTGCATCTTATTAGTTATTAAGCATACGAAAAGCTGGATTAGAAGGGACCAGGAAGATCAAATTTTCAGCATAATATATACGGAAACTTGGAAACCTAATAAATGCGGTGACTTTCAGGCCAAAAGAAATTAAAAAAATAAATTTAATATTTGGATTGAAAAGTTTAGATGGAATACGTATAAAAATTTCGGGTACGTAAAACTTTTACTATACACATAATGCACCCGTCATCTTCTATCACTCAAATCAGTGAAAGTAGATGGTCAAAGAATTGGTTAACGTTCAAACTGTGTGTACTTTGATTCTTTGAAAACAAATTTTAAGATTTTATTTTACGCCAAATAATAATAACAATAATATTAATATAAATTTGTAATTTTATATATTTTGTGCATAATTTTTTTTTTTTAATAAAAAAGGTTCACGCAGAAAGATTTTAAAGTAATGGTCACACACAGAGAGTCAGACAGAGTAAAATATCTGTTATAGGTTTAGAAAATCATTAAAGACTCACTTTATTGCAGATATCAATTTTTGGAGATTCTCTCGCAATTTCACACACGTTTGCCTTAAAGCTCAATTGCCCTCTCTTCTTCCCTTCTTCCCTTTAACCACTTTGCTCCCCTTTCAGTTTCAGCAAATCTCACTTTTTTCTCTCTTTCTCCTTCTTCTTCCTCGCAGAATCAAAACCTAATGATCTCTCACTTTCTCTCTCTTTTTCTCTCTCTACTTTGACCTTCAACACGTATGGGTCTTAAGTAGGTTTCGCCGTTTCTGATGATCAAGAAACCAGCCTCTGAAGTCTGATCAATCGGTTACTTTTGGTTTTCTCTGACGGTGGACCCAGATGGATTCTGACGAAGAAAATAGGGTTCTTTTTTATCGGCAAGTTAAGTCTCACGGTGATGGATTTGATCAGGTGAGTTATAAATTTCTTCAATTTTTTATTGCTCTTTGAGTTTCGCACTCTAAATTTTCGACGACGACTCTTCAGATGATCGAGGACCAGAAGGATAACGAAGGGTTCGATCAGGGATCTTCCGACGAGTTACAGAAGATGAGCGAAAAGCCGTTTTCGTCTTACTTGGAGCTCCGCGAAGGAAAATCTGAGAGTAAAACTAACGGAGCTTCAGCTTCAGGTTCGTCATCAGTTCGAGTTTGTGATTTCTGTGGAAGAGAGTTCAGTTCTGGAAAAGCCCTAGGAGGTCACAGAAGATATCACATTCAAGCTCAGAAAAAGATGGAGGCGCAGAGTCAGGCTCAAGAACGAGAAAAGGTGAATCGTCATCAATATCCTTCAAATAATTATACCCTAAGAATCAAGCCCAATAATATCTCCGAGGATTGCGTCGGCGATGATAATCTCATCATCAAATCGAACATTGGGAATCTCAATTCTTCGAGATCTTTCCGTTGTTGTGTCTGCGACAAGAATTTCCCCTCCAAGAAGTCATTGTTCGGCCATATGAGATCTCATCCTGAGAGAGAATGGAGAGGTATGAACCCTCCTTTCACTGATCACGTTCTGGCTTCTTCTTCTTCTGCAGAAGTCTTCAAAGTAGAAGATAAGTATCAAGATAATGATGAAGTTAATCTTAACAACAATAATGGATCTTCATCTTCAACTTTAGAAGAGTCAGTAGTAGTTGATCTTTCTTCATCTTGTTCTGGAAGTAGCTGGCGCAAGAAAGATAGAAGAGGAAGAAAAAGCATTGGAGCTGCAGAAGCAGCTCAAACCCTTATTGAGATGTATCTCTATGGAAGCTACGAGCCACTATTACCAGTGAAGAAAAGGAATAGGGATGTGAATGATGTTGGTTCTTCACAACCTGGAAAACAAAGCTCGGATTACAAGGAGAAGCTAGAGTTAAAAGCTGATGAGAATAATATCTGGGAGATGAAAGTGATCAGCTTAATGAAAGAGAAGAAGCTTAGGAAGAAGAACAAGAAGTTAAAGAAAGGTCCAGAGATTATCAAGTCAGAAGGAGAAGTGCTGATAAGAACTCTGAAGGAAGAAGTGAAAAAGTCACAAAGCTATGTCTGTGACATCTGTAATAAACCTTTCTCGAGTTTTCAAGCTTTAGGGGGACACAAATCCAAACACAACAGAGGAAAGAACATAGTTATAAGCACCAAGGGGAAGGAAGTAGTGGAAGAACAAAGAGGAGGAGGAGGAGAAGCAGAAGAAGAAGAGGACAAGGTTTGCATCAATGGAGCTTTGTCAAGTGCAGGACTGATGAGTTGTGAAGAAGAAGAGGACGAAGAAGAAGAAGGAGAAGGAGCGTCTCTGATTGTTAGTGAAGAGAGATTAGGATCAAGTTCGAATGATCAAGAGAATAACAGTAATGAAGAGGAATTGGGAGAGGCAAGTCATCAATCTGCAGGTTCGAAAATTCTGGATTTTGATCTGAATGTGCCTTATGTTTCGGAGCACGAAGTAACTGATGATATATAATGAATAAGTCAGCATTTTACGAGTAACGTGTGTTTGTATTTTGCCTAAGCTTTTTCTAGGCCATCACTGTATTTTCTGAACTCTCTCAATGGCCATATCATATAGAACCTTGTAAATTGTTTTTTTAACATGAATTTGAATCATCAGGTTCAGTTGATTCAAAGGTGTTGAGGCACAGCTTACCACTCAAGTTAAAACAAAATAACTTTTTATCGATTTATTTCTCTTTTATATAATTGTATATAAAGACTTAATTGTTGATAGAGTATAATGATCTCGTACAATCCACCCAGTAAAATAAGACTTGTTGTAGTTGTATATATAGCTATATATAAATTTCTTTTTAATTTCATTCTTTGTTCTTTCCGATAAATATGGTTTACATTGTTTCTAGAACAAAAGATGAAATAATATTATACAAGTCACTTATTCATCAAAATCAAGAAGAGTTAGTTGACTCATTAAATTTGATTTGTTTGAAAATGTGAAACACTGTTTCAACTTTACCTATATTTAAGATTAAAGATAAAAACCATTAGCATTATAGTCTTCTAGTGAGTTGAAATAGGAGTGATCGATATTTAGAAAAAGTTTATTAATGATCTATTGAGTAACTTATAATTATATACCGAGATTTCATTTTGTTTATACAACCTCTGGTTCTTTCTTTTTTCCATAAAATAAAATACAAATTGCATTTATGAAAAAGTTGCCAAAATTAAAAGAGTAAGTAGGTTAAAGATATCAGTTAAAAAAAAGGTTAAAGATATAACTTAATTTTTTATTTTAATAATAAATAATTAATATATATAGGATTAAAAAATGGTATTCAAAATTTCAGATAGACTATTAGGAAATTGTTTTTTTTAGAACAAATTTTGAGAAAAAATAAAACATATATGTATATTTGGATGATTATATTCTTCTAAACAAAATTATATTTGGAAAAAATATATAAGAACTTGTTTGAAACACCAGGTAAACCTGGAGAGGCAAGTGCTAAAGCCATCAAAAACGCTAAAAGAAGATTGGGCTGGCATTTGTTGGCCAATTTTACAGGGACAAAAAAGAAATTTTACGGGAAAAAAAATAGAAAACATAGTTCTTGTTTTTTATTTTTTAAAACAAATTATTTCTTATTTTACAAAAAATTTAACTTAAAAAAAATTTTCAAACAGTGTTGTTGTTTCAAAAAAAAATGTTTTGAAAATAGCAAATCAAACTAGGCGTTAGTACTCTTAGTCTTTTTATAAGTTACAAATAACAGAATTATGTAGATTAAGAAGTTGATTAAAATAAGTTAAAGGTAATAAATATATAAAAATGTCTTTTTTTTTTCTAAATATATCCTTAGTTACAAAGAATGCGAGTGAGACGGAGAATGAGCAGAAGCTGTTGTAATTTATGCAAACACATATAATTAATTAAAGCATAAAAATAAAAAACGCATTAAAATTCTAAACACATCCAAAGTAAAAATTACAAAAAGAACTCTATATACTCAAAAAAAATTATAACTTATCAAAAAATTCGTAGGGCTGCCATGTACTATAACTGTGCTAACCGTTTCTTGTAGTGTACAGTTTACATACATTGCATTTTATAGTTCGTTTCTTCTCTAGATATTTAATACTTAAATATCTTTTTTCAGAAAAATTGTTATAAAATATTTAGTAGTGATTGCATGTATATAAATATTAAAAAAATTGTTGAAAAAAAGAAATCTTGGAAATCAGAATTCAAAAAGTGGATTCTCCTTAATTATTGATTCTTATTTTCACAATAATTAGAGAATGTGAAATAACAAGAGAGATGTTATCAAAATCTGTTATGATCTTTGATATTCGAATAATAGTTAATGAATTTTCATCAAACTTCACCTGCAAGTCACCCGCAAACGTAAAACAAAGGTCCCAACTCATAATTTATTTTTTGGTCAAAAAACTCATAATCTATTTTTCATTTTTGTTTATGCAATATTTATCTTTTCAATTTTACAAAATTATTAATTATAAATGATGAGTTGAACATTTTTAACGATAAAAATGATTTTCTTTTAATTTTTTTGCCAATGAAATGGTTTTTTAGCTTAAACAATTCTACTGTCATATAAAACTGATATAATTAAAATTACAAATTAAAATAGATCATAAAACTTCCGTAAAAAAATAAAATAAAATTCACACAATACATTACCGCAAATGAATCAAAAATTATGATAGGATAATTTTCATAATTAAAAAGAAGCATCAGCAGATCTTTTTAGGGAGATTTTCTTAGCTTCTTGGCAAGAAGTAGAGGTAATTTAATCATACAATTTATTCAAGACCAATATCTTATATTTAAAAAGTTAAGTTGATGCAGATCTTAAGGAAACCAATTAAATATACACCAAAGTTCATCAGAAGAAGCCATGGATCATTAAACTAATTGAAGCAATGGTTAGTTTACAGGTTGGTGGTCGTTATGGTTAAATTGGTATGTGTGTGTGTGTGTAGCCTAATCTTGATTAAAATAATAATAATAATAATATTTAATCAAAATAATAGCATGATTAGTTCATTACATGGAGAATGATTAGCCCTTCCCGTTAGACCCAATTCATGATGCAATTATTTATATGTTATATATAACAATAGAGATATTTACAAATATTTATGTGAATAGAAGATAATCACTAATATCATAGATATTATATGCTTCATTCGAATTGCAGCTAAGGTTTTTCCATCATGAAACATTCATGTGAAATTATTCTTGTGAGGATGAGATATATTCACACGCAAGAGTGTGGTAGTTTTGAAATGGATTCGCACAGAATTATGTTAAAATATATACAAATATGGATTATTGTAGGAAGGCAAAAGATAATTTTCTGCTAGTAATCAAATGAGAAACGCAATTTCGTCTATTTAGAATGCTAATAATAGGCTTTAATTCCATCCATAAAGATCTTAGCTAATCAAAAGGAAAAAAAACAGAAGAAGAAGAATTTACCACTCCTTTCTCCTGCTCACTTATTCCCAACTAAAGCACACCTTAATGAATTTTTTTGCCAGTATTTGTATTATTATTTCTGTATTTATAGGTATACAGATATCAATTCTAATAATATCCACCTTTTATGAATTAAATCTTAGATTTGAATTCAATTACATATTGGTATTTCTAAAAATTATTAGTATTATCCATTAATTAATTTTTTTGCTTGTGAGGATTTTAACCCTCAGACAAAGATTTTTTTTTTTTTTCCCGACAGGAGTTTGACAAAGATCTTATTGTTTACTTTACATAAGAATTTGCAATGTTTTTAATGATCAAATTTACAAGGATATTGATTCTACTATATATATACATACATATATATTTCTTCATATTTCTTTTATCAAATTTAAAATGAAAACAACTTAACAGTACATTGCAAAGTAATAAACATAATAGTTAATTCCTAATTTTCCAAAAAATTAATGTTTAAATTTCTCTCGTAACTAGAGAAGTATGAGCGAAATAACTTAATGAATATTATTTCCAGTTCTAATTATAAAACCTTATTTATAGTCAATAAACAAATCTTGTAATAAAATCTAAATAAGTTATACTACTTCTCTGTAATTTATTGTATCTTTTTCAAATTTTATCTTAAAAATTGTAAAATAAATTTCAATCAAAAAGAATTTTTTTATCTTTAGCATATATAAGAAATAGTTAGACTTTACTGGAATCATAAAAATAAAATAAGCAATTAATTATGAACTTTTCAAGAATTTAACTCTCTAAAAATTTAAGCAAATTAAATCAAGCAATCTCTATTCATTTATCGTTATTTTTATCATTAATTAGTAGTATGTTAATTTATGAATAATTCAAGCCATTTCCAATTTTGTTGGGCTTTCTAACTCAAACGACACTAAATACCTCTCTCTTAAGGATTTTTAAGCACATGGTTATGATTTCAATTTTCAAACCATTTGTAGAGAGTATAACAGGTTTGTAAGTTGTGGTAAAAGAAAATCTTTTTAAGTTTAAAGACAATAATATGTCTCTCTCTCTCTATATATATATGAGTATTCCAAAAATTTGAAAAATATAATACTACCACTAGTCTTTAATATAAGAGTTAAATAGTTATATTAATGTATGAATATTAAGAAAATTAGTTAATTATGTATAATAAATAAATATTGTCTTTCTTAAAATACTTTTATAAATTATGTGCATTGGAATAACCTTTCATGTAAACTCATTAACATGTATCTAACAAAAAAAAAACTCATTAACATGTATATCAGTACGAGGATTACTTGAAAAAAAATATTGAAGACAAAATATATTAAAGTCTTATATTTAGAATCAAACTAAATCTCTAAATAACTCTTATATTAAATACATGAGATAGTAAAATACTATTATTCAAATGGAAAAATTAATGTCTTTACCCCATGTGAACATTATTTGTATTGTTTTTTATTATCTAAATAGTCTAGTAGTGACATTAGTCACTCCTCTAATTTTTTTTTTAAAAAGTCACAAGTAAAATGGTTTTACGACTTGAACCTAAAATATTCATTAAATTGGATATATAATTCGTTAAAAAACCGTTACAACAAAATTATATGATAGATTTAATATATTGTCCATAGTAAAATATAATTTTTATATTAATTTAAATACTTTGATATCTTCTTTTACATTTCAAAAAACTAAAATAAATGGAAGAAAAAAAAATAATAAATTACAATGTACTATCCATTTTAATATGCGTGCTTCATGACTTAAAATATCCATAGTAGTTATATATATCTATATATATATATATATATATATATATATATATATATATATATATATGATCGATATCTACGGATACTGACACTAACAGATACTAATACGATACTGATAGGATATATTCCTCTTTTTTTTATCCATTTAAAAATGGCACGGATGATACTGGGTTTGACATTTATATTAGAGTAAAATATATAAGTAAAATAATAATGGCAATCTGTGAAGATATTCTCTCATATGAAGAGAAACTAGTCCTTTTTGAAATACTAGGATCAGATAACAAATAGCTACAAAATCGCAACCTCTATTTTACAAACAAAAAGTCGAATTTCAAAAACCTTGCTCATTAAGAGGGTTATTTCTTAACCGTTTCAGACCCAAAAGAATTAGTTTTAAGTGTAATATGACTTAGAGATACTTTTATTTTTCCTAAAAAATAAACTTAAATTTTTTTTACCAGCAAAATAAACTCAAATATATGTTTTTGAACATATCTATTTTAGGGGGCAAACACGTAGATAACCTTAATCACTTATCCAAAAGTATTTTTCTCCCAACAATGTACATCATTAAGTTATTACCTGTTATAAAAAAACAACACTCTACATTTTTTTTTAATTTAATACACTTTAAACACACATGCACATAAACATGTTTAATGACAGGTTTGAATCTAAGACCCCATCTATCCAAGTATAATGGATAGCACTGCCGTTGGGACAGCTAATCCTTAACAACAAAATTTTATAGATAAAAAAATCTTACATTTCTAAAATTGTTTTGCAGGATCAAAGTCTTTCTTTGAAAATCAAAAGGATATATAATAACTAAAATGCCTACGAGGCCAATTGTTTTTTCTCTTGTTGTAGTTATATAGAGGTAATTTAGCAATCATATATAGGAAATTAAGATTTTTTTTTTTGGGGCTAAGATAAGAAATCTAAATGTAATCAAATTTTAATAAGTCTTTTTATATCTATGTTAATTAAATTACTTGAACTTCTATTCCAGAAATAAAAAATGAAAATAATAATCATTTGCAAGATTAAAAAAATCAAATTAAAGAAAAGAAAAAGAAAACTATTAAATTCTTCAGAATAATTTTAGCCAAAATTAGAGATTTTAGTATGATAAAGGATCAATTAATAAATAAAGTTTATTTAAATATTTTTTTAAAAATATTCTTGATGCAAGTTAATGGTTGGACTCAAATTAAATATATATTTTTGAAATAGAAAGGATGCTTGTTTAATTAAGACAAAATGTAAGGAATGTTGGGATATTTTATTCTAAATATTTGATATTTTATTTTACAGCTCAAAAAACTACAAAAATATATGAAAAATTAATAAATTACAGTGTACTAACCCTTTTAGTATCCTTCCTTCAGGGCTCAAAATTCCTTCACACACCCTCCGGAAAAAATACTTCATAGTTTATAGTAATGCTTATAATCATAATACTACTACTGATACGATATTGATTAAAATTTATAAATTTTATTTTTGTTTGACCAAATTGTATAAATCTTATTTGAGATCAACCGCATTATGAGATAGATTTATTAGATTACCCATAGTGAAGTATAATGTCTACCTAATTTAAATATGTTGATATCTGATCTTATTTTGCAGCTCAAAAAGGTTTTAAAAACATATATGAAAACTTAATGAATTATAATGAACTAACCCTTTTAATGTGCCTGTTTTAAAACTTGAAATTCCTCCACACGCCCTCCCAAAACAATGCTTTATAGTTTATATTAATTAATACTAAAGATACATATATTGATACTGATATTAATACTATTGAAGCCCAACACCGAACATCACATGGGAGAAGATGTGATTGTGGTAGTATTGAGACTAGGTGAGGAAGACATATTTTGGAACGTGGCTCTGATACCATGAAACGACAGTAAAACACACAGAAGCTAATGTTGTATGAAGTATTTCATTTCATTGCATAGTGAGGTGTACAGTAAGTCACTATATATAGACAATGAGATGTATAACAAGTAATATGGACAGAAAAGAAGAATCTAGAATGACAAAAATCCACGTAAAAACCCATTAGTCATTTGGGCTTTGTGATGTTCGGTGTTGGGCTTCAATAAATACTATACCCAAAAGTTTTACTTAGGAATGTGGGGTATCTAAAAGTTTTGTTTAATATTAAATTTGTCCTGAAAGTTTAAAATCATAACAACATTATCCTTTGCTATTGAAAATGATAACGGTCAATATAATGTTACTATTTTAACAGCCAATGTTAGTTTTTTAATGGCATGGAACAATACTGCTATGATTTAAAATTTTTAAGACAAATTTGTTCTCAGAAAAACTTTCAAATACCCAAAACTCTTGAATAAAAACTTCTAAGTTAAATTTACACCTTAACCCAATCATATATACTGGCTTATTCATATCCTAAAAGAGGCTAGTCACCTTTTTACTTTCAGCTCATTATCTAATTAAAATCTTGTGCTTGTTATGTCAAAAAAGAAAGTTGTCACATTAAATTAAATATAGGACTCTTATAACCATAAATATAAAAAAAAAACACTACTTATAGTTATAGAGTACTTTTGTTCATTAGAAGAAAAGCCGTGCAAGATAAGATACAACATGTTATTTGAAAAAAATCAACTTTTAAACAACACACAAACAAATACATAATTTTTGCAAAATATACTAACGTTCATTTTTTACTTTTGTTGTAAAAACTTTCTAGAAACAAATTTTACAATTTAGAAACAGTATACATACATGGTTTGAAATTTATATAACAGTAAAATAATTAAAATAATAATGGTAAAATCTACAAGGATATCCTTTTACCATAAATGAAGTGAAACTAATTTTTTTTTTAACATAACTATTTTTCATCAGCAGATAACAATTCTCTCCAAAATTCTAACTAAGTTTGCTCTCCAAATAAAAGTTTTAAATATAAAATAAACTTAACGGTATATATTTTTTTAACATAACTATATTAGGAGAAAAACAGTTGGATAACCTAAAGCACTTATCAAAAAATATTTTGTCCCACTGACATGCATCATTAAGTTCTTAACCTTAACGTGTTAGATATTTAAAAAAAAAATATCAATATTCTACGTATCAAACATAACAATAGTGTGCTCCGTTTGGTTATGCAAAATAGTTTCAGAAATTCAAGATTAGATTCTTGGCTTCTTGCTCTAAATTTTAATTGTCACCACTTAATTCTTTTATTCTCATTTATCGTGTTCAAAATATAAAATATAAAATGTAATGTGAATGTCTTTTGAAAAAATTTATAGAACCGCTTTGTTTATAGGGAAAATAATGCTTAAAGACTAAAATGTTATATTTCTAAAAAAAATTTGTAGGATGGAAGTCTTTCTTTGAAAATCAAAAGATATATAATGACCAAAATGCCTGACACATATAATATGTCTTTATTAATTGTTATATAAAGGGAATTTAGTAATCATAAATAGGAAATTTAGTTCTTTTTTTTTTTTTGGGGGACTAAGATAGAAAATCTAATATTCAGCTATAGGAAATTTTTGGAGTATTAAATTTTTTTATGTGTGTTTACCAAACTTCCTTGATCTTTGAAATTCCTTAGTGCCATTATTAAATGACTTAAATTATGTTCCTCCATTTGACATGACACACAAGGCATGACGGTACAAGTTAATACTCCCTCCATTGCTTTTTATAAAAGACGGTTGTAAAGGATGACATGTTTTTTTTTTGTTTTAAATTTTGTTTGTTGATTTTCTATTTTAACCTTATTTAATGACTCATATAATTGTATTTACTAATCTTTACGCATTTTTTTTCTACCACACATTTTTTCTCTTCCACATAAATGAGGATGTTTTTGACAAAAGTATTACATTTTTTTACACATATTTATTATTTTCAACTAATTTTAACCATTAATTAATGATCTCTTATAAGAAGCAAGAGAGGGACTACCATTTATCATGGGCTTATCACTTGTTTGTTTGGTGCATGTAATAAATTGTATAAGCTCATAAATCATAAAATTTTTAACTCATTAAAATGCTGGATAATTCAATACAGCTCATGAAATTCATATAAAAGTTCTAAAATTTTGTTGTGTAATACGTTTATTATATTATTTACCACTATCACTGTCATTGCCACTGACCATCACTAGCCACCTACACCATATCCCCGTCATCATCACCGCCGTCTCTAATCAGTAATCACCACTATTATTGGCTCTTCCATCACTAGCAGCCGCCGCCGCCAATTCCATCACTGGCCTTCGTCGTCGTCGTGGATCTCCATATGGTCACCACAACCATTGGCATTGCAAACCGGCTTCGTGGTTACCACCTCTACCATATTTCATTGGTCACCACTATCTACAACTATCACATCACTGGCCACTATCATCACTAGCTACTGATATCACGGGCCATTACCATTATTATAACAGTTAATGAAGTTTTTTTCCACCCTCTAAAAATGAACACAGTTAAAAGTTCTAATATGTTTACTTTAATTGTAAGTAAAGGGTAGTTTTGTTAAAATCTTTCTGTCCTATACACTATTATATATTACCAAGCATAAAGTTTTTAATTTAAGAGTTAGTTGACTAATTTTAGTAAGAAAGTTTGTTGGGTTAATTATTTATAATAAATAAGTATTATCTTTTCTAAAATACCCTTACTATCAATATGTGTTAAATATAATTGTTATTTGATGGAATCTTTTAATGTGTACAACTATTATAAGAATTACTTTAAAAAATAAATAAATATAAAAAACCAAGTAAATTAAGGTCTTATATTTAGAACTAAATTAAAAATCAAGCTCGCTTTCATAATAAATACTAGATCAGGTCTCATCCCATTATCCCTTATCTTATCAAGCATTATCAGGCCTTATCCTATGCAACGTGCTGATCGGGAATTCATAAGAATTTCAGTCATCGTACATCTTGCTTGTTTTGAAAGAAGGACGTTGGAAAATTTTTAGAAATTTAAGATTTGTATCTGTAAATAACTTGTCATTTTGATCATTAATTTCCCCTTGTTGATAAGCTATATACAAATAATTAACATAAGTCCCCTTGCACCCCAGCAAAACAAATCAACTCGCCATTTCTCCATAATAACGAATCAAACACTGACGTCGAAACAAACTGGAAAAGTTGAATCATCCATTAAAATTGGAGCATGAAATTTTAACATTTTCAATTGACATGTCCAACACAACATGAATACAGAAATGATTTAAAAAGAAATTTAAAAAGAAAAAGAAAAAGAAAGTACACAATCTTCAATGAAGGCTGAACAACTGAGTCCAATTTTGAGATCAAATATCATGAACATTTCAGATGCACCTAAAACATATACAAATCCCATTCTTCCAGCATCAGCAGCATCATGTTCAAATCAAGTTGATGAAGTCAGGTTATCTGATACAAAAGTTTTGCCAAAATCCACTCTTGAAACATCACCTGCAGCATCTTCAAACATTTGATGAGGTCAGGTTATCTGATATAAGAAATTCTCAAATCCCATTGTCCCAACATATCCGCAGCAGCATCTTCAAACCGTTATTGAACTGAGATTATCTGATGTTAACGGCTCTGGTCTGTCATAACTGTAGCCTCTGAAGGTAACAGAATTTCTTAAGACTAGTCTAACCGCTGATAGCAAATGTACAAACAAGTGAAGGCACCTCATTAACAAAGACCAAATTATAAAGACCTAAGCACAAATCAAGATTGCCAACTTTCTTAGCGGTAACTGGTGTCATTGCCGAACCAACACATGTCAAGCAAAGCATCTGGCCTTGTTATGTCTATCTGACTAGAAGTTTCTTTCCTTTGAGAAACGTTAGGTGGACCCTGTGAAATTACTTCCTGCTTCATTTCAAGACCTGCTGAAAATGAAAATAGCATGCCAAAAAAATATATCAAAATAAAAATAGAGTCCATGCTAAACAATTAAATAAAACAAATGGCACACTCACCTTTTGCATGTTCAATGAAGTTGGGTTCATCAACTGAGCAGAAGCTAACAGGAGGAGTATAATCTGTAAGAACTGAGGCAGAAGAGTGACCTAAGGGTGAATTTGTATCCCCATGGTGGTCCCATTCTGTCTCAGTTTTAGCCATATTCAGTATGCAGTCATCAGGAGTCTTCCACAACGAATCATTGTATGGGCCCTTGGGAAGCTTGGTGTCGTAGATTATTGATTCTAACAAACCACTACTATCTGGAGTAACAGTACATGACTGGTATTGTTCAACAGGAGAAGACTGAAACAATGTATCAACGGACTCAAGTGAAGGAAGTGGGGATGCATTTGCATCCCAGCTACCTTGTTGAGTTTCTAAATATTGGAGTGAAGGGAGCTCCAACTTCATTGCCTCAGATATGGGCGCTGAAGAAGAGATAGTGCCATTTAAAGCGGCATGGCTGCCATGAAGATTATCACCATGAAACGGATCATTGGTGTCAAGGGACAGATTGCCTGGAGACGGCAAAACAGGAGGTGGCTCAGCAGTATAATCCACAAACTTATCAAACACTGGGATCATACAGCTGCTACTATTGTCCAATCTATTATAAAGCATATCTGACTCCCTAAGGCGTTTCGGAGGGTTTCCGAACAACATAACATCACTATGTGGTGGGCCTACAGTTTGTTCAAACAGACTGCTGTCAGGAATATCTAAAATAGATGGACCATATGGGAGATAACTCCGACTGAAATCATATTCTTTGAAATCCAGTTCTGGGACTTTGAAGTTGCCTCCTTGCGGGATATCAGAGTGTTGGCTGGCTCCACTCATCAAAGTACTCATATTTGGATTTTCTTGACTGCGTACCCGCTGGCATATGTCAGGAGGATAAATTGGTAATCCAGCTCGTTGCAGTCTCTTAATTCTAGTGTTCCAGTAATTCTTTATCTCATTATCTGTACGTCCAGGCAACTGAAACAGAAAAAGAAGGAATGAAGAGAAGAGGAAATAACCAAAAATGAAACAAGATTACATTTTGTTCAATAACACAGACAACACACAAAATGATGTTAATTATACTGAATAAGGCATGCTAGTCAATATATGGTTCTTGCTGCGGTTAATTTTCTGCCCTATCATTCCATTATCTCTTTTCTGTATTCCCCCCTCTTACTCTGTATGAACAAGCAATTGTCACATAATATTTGCGTTGTTTAACAAAAGATCTCTAGATTCTGGGTTGGCAACATGCTTTTTTCCACTTTCTTGGGTAGGGGAAGTGTTTCTAATGCCATAATAGGAATGAGCACGGTAAACGTTTTCTCATTTTCATTGTCTATCTTTATTTTTCACTTTTACTTTCTATCAAGAATGTCAAGACCTATGTTAACTTTCTTATCACATACTGAGTGTTTTTCTTTACATAGTTTATTAATATATTTAATATTTGTCCAAAAATAATGTATTTGATGTTTACACGGCACAACAACCAAAATGCTTGTCTTGATATCTCGTTTATAAATGTTAATTTGATCTTATATATATCGTAATGTTTATTTTCTATAATGGTCAATGATACTCAGAGAAATGTACAAGAACACTCCAAAAACATTTTTCTTCCTCTTTTTATTTAAAATGCTGAAACATCAGGTGCAACAACCTCAAAGAGGCAGAAGCTCATTATGCTTCCATTTGCAGACCTCAAATCCCTGGTATTCTATGCCTGCTCCTCGCCTTAAAAAGAAAAAAATTAAATATATACATGCATATGCTAGTAACAAAACACCAGAGACAAAAACAAGCAAACCCTTTGTCGTGACCACTTGTTCTGATCAGACAAAAAAATAAAGGAAAACTTAGGAAGATACACTAACAGGGAGAAGATGCTTTTTGGATAGAAATTTGACTTTCTAATTTGGAGAAAGAAATAGAAAAGTAGGTCAGCTACAGGAATGCTTGGTCAAAGTCCATGAGCAGCAGGCTGTGAGAGTTACTTTTGAGGTCTTTAAATCCTCACTCTGGCCAAGGGAGGGTATGTGGAGAATTTTGCAGTGTGGTCTGGCCTTTGGGGTGGAGAGTGCCACCCTCTCGAAAGTTTGGCAGCCCTGTTCTGTTTCAGTGAGTCTGTCGTGTGAGTTGTATCGTGTATCCATTGTTGTGATGAAGTTGTATCTTGCGTGTCTCTCTCTGTATCAGAATGGTGTTATCTTACTGTGTTTTAGCTCTTATTTTCATCTGCTATAAACATATCCCTATTGTTCATTTCCCATTTGTGTGTCTTGTTGCGTAGGAGAGTAGTGTTTTGGGTCCCTGAATGTAATGAGTTTCATCTCTGGCTTTTCTTTTCATTTGTAATCTGTCTTAATATACTGCCTCCAGTCCTAAGTATAAGAGCTAGTTGACTAATTTAAGAAGATTAAGAAAATAAGTTAAGTTAGTTATTTGCAATAAATATGTCTTGTCTTTTCTAAAATATCCTTGCTAATCAAGTGTATTGGTTAGAACTACCATTGTTAGAACGACTATCTTGAAGAAGAAAAAAAATACATAAATATGAGAGACAAAGTAGATTAGGGTCTTATATTTAGGACCAAAATAAAAGTCAAACAAAGTCTTATATTAAGGACCGGAGGTAGTATTAAATGTTTAGAAGTTTCTATGTTAGGTCATAACACCCTGCTTCTCAGCCATGGATGGACCAGTGGTACAAGATAATGGTTGAACAAATCAGTTTAAAATAGTCTCCATCATTTTGCACTGCAAATGGGAAGAAATTAAAGAAACTGTCGTCTCCTGAGTCAAAACAGAACTTTCCAATTTTTTGAGAAACTCGAGAAACAAAAGATAGATTAGGTAGGACATTAGAATTATAATTTTTAAAAAAACTAGAAAATCAAAGGAAAAAGTTTTCTGCATGTTTCTTACTTCTCAACAATAAATTCAAATTTGAAGATTCCAAAATTCTTTTATTTGGTAGTTCAGGCGGTGACAATCCAGAAAGAGCATGCAGCTTAATTGTTTTCTCCACTCAAAAAACGGTTTATTTCCTCAAACAGAAGATTACCTTCCTTGCAAAATATCAAAATACTCATACAATTCTACAATTTATGGGCAACAAAATCTTTTGCATGATCCTATTTAAATTCCACATAATTAGAGAGGCATCAAACATGGGCTGAATGTTGTAATATATTGCGAACTACAACTGTAAACAATGTTGACTAAGGTAGAGTCCAAGAAACAAACTATAAATTTGCAATCAACAGGGAGGAATGATTTAAACAGATCATAGCAAGATCTCTTGCAGGGACTTTGGAAATTCCCTAAATACAAGCGAATGAATACTACCAAACCATGAAGAAACCATACAGCCTCTTAACACAGACCAAGCAAACTAGCTATTATGCAAAACATCACCACGCTTCTCGTTTAGAAACCTAAATGCCCTTAAATCACCACAATACACCAAGGTTTTGTGTGTGTCAGACTATCATCATAAATAAAGGTTAAGGATTCAGCTTCAGAAAGGCACACCATGTTGACTTTCCTAATAGTACATTTTGTTTTATCTGTTCCATTTCTACCCAACTTTTGCCCTCCCAATACTCTCAACAAATAGTTACTTGCCTTTTCCCTTCTTGTTAACTCTATGCAACCTGTTAGTCAAGTCCTTATCAACTCTCAAAAAGTTGATAATAACCAGAAAACTCAATATGGAGGTAGACTGAAACAAGTATCATCCCCTTGATCAGTCTTAGCTCCTACAACAAAATCCCATGTCATGCCTTCTATACCTAATCGCTATATTACCATGCCATCTAGAATACAAAGAAATTAACAATTACTATACTGAATATAGCAATTAATGTATAGTACAGGGTGGATAAAATGGAACACTTTAAAATATATATATATATATATATATATATATATATTGAAATGACATTCTCCACATCAATTCATCTTTAGAGTTAATAGTCACCATTTTTTTTCCATGGCATAAAGTAAGGACATCAAATGCGAACTACTACACAATCAAGCTTCACAACATGATTGAAGCTTAACATGAGCATAATACATGTTGATAAAAAATTAAATAAGTCATATGGAACAGACCTCTGTTGCCATTCGAGCCCATTTGTTTCCCATCCTAGCATGGAGCTCAATGATTCGACGCTCCTCCTCTTCAGTAAATGCACCCTTTTTTAATTCTGGCCTCAAGTGATTTGCCCATCGTAAACGGCAGCTTTTTCCACAGCGGGCAAGGCCTGAGTGCTTTTGGACTGCATTCCAATTTCCTTCTCCATGTTTTTTGACATAATCTATTAAAATTGCATCCTCTGCTGCTGTCCAAGGGCCTTTCTTCAGAGGTATGTCTCCTCCAACCTCACCTTTGCAACTTGCTTCTTCAACTGCAAACATGGACCGCCGACCTTTGGGCATTTTTGGAGCATCACCTCCACTAATCATGTTACTCACGGTTCTTATTTGATTCAGATTTCTGAGACACAGGAGAAGGATTGAAAAATCACCATAATCAGAATCAGAAAGCATAAAACAAGGAGGAAATTCAGACCACATGCAATATGAGGACTATAATAAACCACATACATTAATAAAAGATATCGCAAACATGAAGCACATGAACAATACATGAAAAACTTCTAGAGCATTAATTGAACATGAGATGCAAGACTTCCTTTCTGTTCCACTTTTAAAAGCTTGCAGTCAACCCTCGTTGGGGTCTTTCTTTAGGTGTTGTTAAACGCTTTAAGGATCATCTTTCGTATTCAGATTTAACTAGTACAGTATAAAAATATATATAAGAGCTGCGGGTTGCCACTGAAAGAGTGTTAGTTAACTTCCCAAGGGCAAGCCTTCCCCATTCCCAAGTGCAAGCCTTCCCCGAGTGCTATCATTCTGAATAGTCTTTACTTCAATTTTCAGTTTGGTCTGACTATTACATGTTTACATCCATTCTTTAGTTACCAAAAGGTCTTACGGTCGCCAGACGTAGTTACTACCTCTTTCTCTAGCTGTGAAATATACTGCATCCTACCAACAAAATTCTAGTCAAGTCTTATTTCAACCTGAATCTGGTTAATTTTTAGGCATGTCGTCTGTTTCATCAAAAGCCATCACCTTTTCATACTTGTGCACTATTCTGGCATCAACAGTAACCGCATATATTCTCCAGACGCCCCTCTATCGGGCCAGTGGACAAAAAATCCTTGAAACTAAAAAAAAATTCAGGACAAGTGCTTTACGGAGCGACTGTTTGCCCCTACTTGACCTCTCTGTAGCACTCAGATCGTCTCTTTCCACGCCCTCCCAAGCTTAATCAACACATTTCGCCAAAACCTTCACCGCAGTGAAGGATAGTGCACACAATGGCTTCCCGTGCATTAGAGCCATTTTTCACACTTGCGTTCGCTATCTCAGGTTATCTCGAGACCTCTTCTATATATATTCCCATTTACATACCCACCAAGTCTTTTTATATGACTTGGGGATGGTTTGAACTAGAAGGAAATTAATGTCGCAATTATGACTATGACGATCCGAAATATATAATGTATTAATGTTTAACCAGATTAAATCCACTTTCATTATTATGTAGTCTAGGGCAAGTTTATGAGCTATTTAATTATTCGTTCAGCATATTCCAAGGAAGCTAAAAGAGGCACCAAAATTGCCAATCAATCAATTAATGCATAAAGTTTAACAAACAGAACATAACTTTACAAGACATGAAAATTTACCCGAACAAATCGAAACGTCACGCCAGTGCACAGCTCAAAAGACTGATTACCTAATCTGGATTCCAGATCTAAAGAAGATCCAGAACAATAAATGTCCTCAGACGGGCGTGGTAAAGAAACCACAACCCAAGAACAAAAAGGGCATAGATAGGCCTCAACCTTCGCAATATGAAAAAACTAAAACCCAATTCAAAGAGAATTCAGGAAGCAGGTCTCGCGAACCACCATTTCTAAATCAAGAAGAAGCAGAGCCGCCCAGTTTCGGTTTGTATGATATAAGCCAGGTAGAATTCAAAGGAAATCGAGCTTCCTTAAAACCCCAGAAAAAGTAAGACAGGGTTAAGGAACTCAAAGCCCACGATTTTCTCGATGCGAAAACTGTAATCAGTGAGGAGGAAGGATCTGAACATGGAAATATAGTACAGAGACGCGTGAAGATGTTGAGTCAGGGAAAGGGATAGAGAGAGAGAACGAGTTTGATGAGTATTTGAGTACTACACTCTGAATCACGGTACCATCAGAGGAAAATGGGGCAATGATTTATTTTTTCATACGGAAAAAACCAGAAAAAGCGAAAAAAGAAGAAAGAAAATACGGAAAGCTACGAAATTGAATGGAAAATTAGATGGTAAAAGTAGAGAAAAAGCAGGAGATGATAGAGAAGGATACGTATGACCAGCTACTTTTTCAATTATTATTTATCAAGTCCACTTTTTGATTCTCCTCTCTTGCTTCTCTCTCAAGATCCATGGAGGCCCAAGCCATGAAAAACTCTCTCTCTCTCTCTCTCTCTCACTTCACGTTTCGCGCACACTGAGCTAGAAAGAATGCAGAGGCAGGGGCCATGGAGCAACCTGTTCTCTGTGACTGGATCAAACAAGTGGGCCCCACAATATCAAAGGTGGATATAAACGTGCACCATGCGTATAATTAAAAGAAATAAATTACTTTTTCACGCACATCAATGTCAATTTTACTGTATGAAATTTATAATAATTTTTATTTCTGCATATATATGATTCAAAATTTGAAATACAGATGACAAAATTTGAATGAAGTATGAAAATATCATGGAGAGAGAAGCATACGAACGTATAGAGCAATAGTAAACTAAATATAAAAAAATGGTTAGAAAAAGTCTTAAGATTTTATACATAATGATTATGATTTGATTATTATAGTGTATGAAATTTATAATAATGATTATTATCTTTTTATTTACATACATATAAATGATTCAACATTTAAAGTAAACGTGAAAAAAATCTGAATGAGATAATAGAGAGAGAAAGATACATATGGATAAACACTACGTATAAAACAAAAACAAAAACTTTACAAAGATTGTCATCTATGGATGATAATGAACTCCCCATAACTTTGCATAACGTATAGATAGCTGCATTAAATTTTTTTGTGACGAATTTCCACAAATGCTCCTAATTATATAGATAAGTCCTCCTTGTATCAAAGAAAATATACTACCTCCGGTTCATAATATAAGACGTTATTTGACTTTTATTTTTATTCTAAATATAAGACTCTAATTTATTTTACCTCTCATATTTATCTATTTTTTTTCAAAATAATCATTTAATAATAGTAGTTCTAAATGACAAATTTGATTAGTAAGGATATTTTAGGAAAAACAATACTTATTCATTACAAATAAATAACTTAACTAAGTTTTTTAATCTCTCTAAATTAATCAATTGGACTTTATAATTAGGATCAGAGGTAATGTATAGAAATTTTGTTCATTACTTATCTATAAGGTTTTTTTTTTTGGTCCAAACACTTATCTATAAGGTTTAGAAGGCTTATAGGCACAAGATTCAAAGCGTAAAGAGGTTATGTGCTTGCGAAATTATAATTTAAAGAGTACATAATTGAAAACTGAGTGAATCTATCTTGTCTCAATTATATCGGGACTGGTTGGTTCTGACTTTTTATATTTCAAGATGGGATAAGAGCGGGACAAGATAAAATGAGAATCGAGTAAGGATAAAACACAAGACGACTCTAAAATGTCCGTATATTTAATTCTCTTTTTTTACAGTCCTGGGTTTTCATTCATATTATAAAAGGGGTAGATTGTTGTGTGCTTGTGTTGCTTTTATGATGGTATGACTAATTTATATATCACACACCTTCCCCCACATTTCTTTCAGGTGATGACGGATGAGTGATCACTAGCCATCCCCTGAAGCTTACAGGCCTTGGGAAATAGAGAGGCAAGTGTAAAATGGAGAACAACAGCGAACCAGTTATTCTACATTTAGGGGAAAAAAGAACTAGGTGAAGCAGGTACCTCGGTCCTCGGTATTATACACGTGTGTAAAACTGCCAATGAGCATGAAGAATGAAGATGGGGTTTTGAAATCCCACGGCTCCTACTCAGCTTCGTCAGTAATACTATTAGCTCAGTCCTAAATATAAGAGCTATTGACTTATTTGAATAAATTAAGAAAATAAGTTAAGTTAGTTATTTGTAATAAATAAGTATTGTCTTTCCTAAAATATCATTGCTAATTGGTTAGAACTACTATTATTAGAAAGGCTATCATGAAAATAAATAAATAAATATGAGAGATAAAATTTATTAGAATCTTATATTTAGAATTCAAATAAAAATCAAACGAGATCTTATATTAAAGATTAGAGGTAGCAGTTTTTAAGTTTTTCTTTTTACTTTATTAATGCTTGCTTTCACACAGTTCAGTCTTTGCTCTAGGCTTTATGCTAAAACCAAACATGTATGATTATATATAACTCCTGAATTTTCCAGAATAGTTGTAGCCTTCTTTAGAAAGTTGGCCATGGTAATTTTTAGGGGTGTTCACGGGACGGATCGGGACCGGGACAGGCCTGTCCCGGTTCCGTCCCGATGAACAGTAATGTGACAGATTTTCTGTCCCGTGTCCCGGCCCGTCCCGGGGTTGTCCCGGTCCCGGTCGGGACGGGACGGGATCGGAACGTCCCGAAATATTTTTTTTAATTTATTATTATTTTTTTAATTTTTACAAAAAATTTGATTTTTTTAATTATATTTTTTTTATCTTAAATCTTATAAAAACATCTTTTTTATTTGTTTGGGCACTCTTAAACAAAAGCTCAAAATATTACATATAATAGTTATTAAAAACTCTAAACAAAAGCTTTTAACACAATAAAAACTTGCTAAAAATTCTAATCATCAATAATCTCAAATCATTAACAAATATAAAAACTCTAAATAGATATATCCATAGTTCCATACAATAGTCTCAAATCTTAAAAAATATGAAAAAAATGATATTATATAAAAAATTAAAAAAATTAAATTTTTTTTTAAAAAAAGGGACCGGGACGGGACGACCCCGTCCCGTCCCGTCCCAATAAGACCGGGATCGGAACGGGCAAACCGGGACGGGCTGCCCTTGAACACCCCTAGTAATTTTAGAGCTGAGAAAACATGCCGAGTCTTCGCAGGTTTGGATCTAACGGGTGTTTGGCAACTCTTAAAAATAATTTTAAAAAGTATTTTTCTGTAAAATAAGACAAATTCCTCCACATATTTACTTTATAAATTGTAAAAGTACTTTTAAAATCATGGTTTTGTTTCCATCCAAATACTCCCTAATTGGAAAAGCTTGTTTTCTCTAAAATAGCTGTTTTTTGTTTTGTCAAATCAATTCTTGAATTTTGTTGGCCCCAAAAAAACTTCTTGAATTATGGGCTTGAGACCCGTCTGCGGAGGCCCATTTAATCAAAATTTAAAATCAAAGACTGAAATGAAAAATAAAAAAAAATTAGAGAGAAAATATTATCCTTATAAAAACCAAGTCAGAGAGCCAAGAAAAAGTGAACAACCAATTTATTTTGATACAGCCTATCCACTAACCTCCGTTTCGTTCTCATGTAGGAGTTGACATTTTTAATTCACTATCGCCGTAAAGTTTGACATAGGCACATAAAACTACCACAACATACAAGTATTATTATAAGGCACCTGTGGGCTAGAACAACAGCCAACAAGTTTACAATCAGTGCCTGTCAAGCCATATTACGACACGCAAGCATTCATGTGAAAAATTATGTATCCTAAATTATATTATAAGAGGTGATTATATATATAAACATAGAAGTATTTATAGGTAAATTTACAAGTGCAAATACATATTTTAACAACAAACAATAGCAAAATAACAAGTGTGATTAGAGAACTTGACCTAATGGATATAAGTAATTTGACATAAAATTTGTCTTCAATTTAAAACCAAAAAAAAAGAAAGAAAGTTGTTCTACTTCCTCAAACTAGTTTTGGGAACTAAATTTGATTTCAAATTGAGACATTTGTCGAAGTTTTGATTTGGGGTTGGTTATTCTTAAATTAAGGTTACAAACTCAACAAAGAGTCCAACTTGGATTAAGCATAGAGTAACTTGAGGTTGGGAAGGTCAAATTGTCAAGTAGTTTTTATTGATTTGGGTTGAGAAGAGACTTGATTTGAATTAGAAGACAAGATAGATAATTTTTGCACATAACCTCCAAATACTAATAGGTAAGCGCATAACTCAAGCTATCAGGACTCTTGACCCGAATTAAGAATACTCTTCACTTGAATTAAGAATATATAACATTAAGAACATATGTTTAATTGATTAATTAACTTGATGCCAAAAAAATCAATTAATTATCTTGTGAAACAATTCTTTTCTAATTTTGATATCATTGGTGAGACTCAAAATCATAAAGATAAGATATCTGTTTATATGAATATAAAAAATGCGAGCTTGCACCATACAATTAGGAATATTATTCGATATGCTAACTACTTGGTTAGAGAAGGTCATATTGACTTCTCTAATACGGTGTTGGTATTAACTGTATCGAATGGATGTTTATAAATTCTTGGAAGATTAACAAAATATTTGATAGTTGCCTGTGTTTTGGCTAGGATTATTTCTTAACATGTTTTTTCTTTAAATTTTTGCTTGCCTTTGTAACAAAAAGAAATTATATAATGCTTTATCTTGGTCTCTTAATTTGATATAGTTATCTTTTTAATCTTCTAGCCTATTACAGTTAGTCTCAAATAACCTTTTTTTTTGGTGAAAATCAATGTTATTTAATTTTTGAAAACTCCACTTAAATATAATATGTGAACATTGGGCGGTATTTTGTAAATATCTTAAATTTCAACATCAACTTTCTTTATTAATGAAATTAATGGTATTAAGGTTAAAAGACAAACAATATTTTATAAATAATGAAACATTGTACAAGGTTAAAAAATAAAAAGTGCAATTTTACCTTGTATAAAAAAGAAATGAATGAACCTAAAAGTTTATTTTCCATTTTTCCTATCATACGTGTTTGTTTCTTTTCTTTTCTTTTTGTTTTTTTTTCAAACCACTTTCAAGACGTAGCAATGGAGGCATTAATTTCAGGAAATTACCACATCACCCTTAAAGAACTACAAGACAATGCCAAAAGCCTAAAGTCAAAGAACGGGCCACCTGCAATTGTCTCATGGGGCCACCATGCCACGAATGGAAAAGAAAACCAGGTATTGATTATTGATGATGCTCCCGTTGTTCTTTTTGTGATTATATATACATGACATAAAAATTATGACATATTCTTCTATATATACATAATGAATGATATGGTTTATTTCTTAACCTCTTTGCAACGCAGAAATCGATCTATTAATTTAGTACTTCCTTCATTTCATATTGTAAGACAAAATTACTATGATTAATGATTTTCAATTTACAAAACAATTTGTAAAATGTGAAAAGTAATTAATCTTATTGTACCAAAGATACCCACTTCATTTATTAGTAGGTCACGGTGAGAGTCTACTTCACTAGTTTTAGAATATATTTGGAAAGTCCACAAATTTTATAGAGAATTAGAATTGGATGGATAAAAAGGAGAGTAAAAAGCAAAAACGTACCTCTTTCCGTTGCTTTTGATAAGCTACAATTTTAAAAATAGGTATGTTCTTTTTTTTATTTTTATAAGCTATGTTTTGAAGATATCTAGACACTGTTTAATGCATTTTTTCTATTCTTAGCCCCCAAATACTTATATGTCTTTTTTTTCATTTTTTTTACGCATCATCACTCATCTTTTTTACCACTCATTCTCTTTTATAAATAAAAAAAATTTGTGAGGAGGCAAGAAAAATCTGGCTACATATATGTTCAAGTATTAACACTCATATTTTCTTTAATATGAATCTTAATGAATGGATGTTGTGTAATTTGAGTAGTAAAGTTGTGGTGCATGATTGTATCGAGTGGAATATTGTTTTTGGTTACATGCGTTGGTTTCTCTAGTTTTGGAGAAACAAAGTTTTATTCGATGGCGATCTTGAAGTGAACAGGATCTCTATAAATGCTATTTGGAAGTATGTTGATTCAATAAAAAAAGCCTCTCTGCTAGGAGATGGAGGAGTTTTGAAGAGTTGGAGGTTTATAGGGTGGAAGCCTTCAGATCCTGGGTGGATCAAGTTGAATATAGGTAGTGCTGCGGAGGGTCAACTTGGGTTTGCAGGCTATGGTAGGTTACTCAAAAACGAGAAGGGAGAATAGTTAGGAGATTTTGCGAATAATTTGGGTAAATGTACAGCAATTGGGGCAGAACTTTGGGGTGTTTGGTCAGGATTTTTATTGTTGGCCCATAAGAACTATAGGAAGGTTATGATATAATCTGATTCTCTTAATCTAGTCATGATGTTGAATGACTTGTTTGTATAAAATAAGGCCAATAATAGATTTGAGTCATATACAAAGAATGGTTGATGATTCTTGGGATATACAAGTTATATATACATATCGAGAGTGGAATTCCAACCCTGATTGGCCTGTTAATTGGAGCTTACTGTGTGTAGTTGGCTTATGGTAGCTGAATGATCCTCCTAGAGGATTGCAGATGTTACTGTATAGAGATTCTATGGGATTTACTTGCCCAAGACTTGTTTCGTTGAATAGTTGTTGATTTGGACGATTTTGCTTCTTTATACAAAAAAAAACCTTAATTGAAAATGACAAGATAAATGTGTAATTTTATTCCTGATCTTATTTCTCATACGCAATTTTATCTCTGATCTTTTTAGTGTTGCAATTAGTTTCAGTCAAATCTTTTTTTTCCCCCAATTTTATCTCTATCTTTTTTTTGTGTAATTTTACCATTAAAAAGATTAGGAGGTAAAATTGTACCTGAAAAATACTATCAAAGATACAATTACACTCTTGTCCAAAAAGATATGCTCTTTATCCTTTATATCTAAATATGTTATCCTTTTTCATGAGACGTTTAAAAATCTCCATTACAAAATTTATTACCTAAAGACATTCAAAATTCGTTTAATGACGCAAGTGCAACTCTTTTTCAGTTATATATGATTTCTTTTTGATTATGTGCAAAATAAACAACATTTGAATATAACTAAATATATATTACATATAACTGAAAGTAAATTGCCCCCATTTGTACTTGCTCAAAAACTTGAGCTTTCATGACTTCGGAAGATAAATTTTCAGCAAATAATGGCTGATGCCCTGTCGCGGGAATCATGTTTCTCACTTCTTAGGATTGAGACAGTGAACGACAATAGCGACGTCGTCGACTTCGTTATTTTCGTCTGTGGGCCTCACCTGTGGACCCCATTTTTTCCGGCAAGACAAAAAAAATGTTAGCTTGAAATTTGAAAACAAAACAAAAAAGCTTCTCATAGAAATTAGAAAGTGCTTCTTTTTGAAGCGGTTTCGAATTCCCATTATCGATGACCATGGAGCGTCACCCCCCTCCTCCCATCTCTTTGCCCAACGTCACCGATCTCTCTCCTCTGTTGCTAGGGTTTCTCGACGAGCATTTCTCAACCCACCAAGATTTGTCCCTCAATGCTTCTCTGCTCTCTTCCTCTTTGAGCCAACAATGCTCGGAACTGGACGCCCAGCTCGGGAACCTGCAGAATGATGTCACCAAACGCGCCGTTTCGTGGATTTCTCGTTCGTTTTTGGCTAAATCAGCTCTTGATGAGCTCAACCGCAACATGCAAAATCTCAGCCTCCGCATTTCTAGACGTCAGTGTATTCTATTTTATTCACATTATATACTTTGGTTCCAACGTTTCTGAAACTCCTTTCTAACGCTAGTTTTATTTCTTTGAATTTTTAGACGGGGTTGGTTCGAAGAAATTTCAAAAGGTTTTGAATGAGGACCTTCCTCGATTGGCAAAGGAATTGAATCGAATTGAGTCTATACGCAGTTATGTCGGTGAGTTGCAGGACTCTGTATTCCCCCCCCCCCTTTTGGGTTCAGCTATTGTTATTGATCTGCAAGATTTAAATTTCAATCTTGACGTGCTCTTCATTCTAGTTGTCTGCTCCTTTTTCTTTTACCTGGGGCCAATTTCTTGTTAGTTCGTCGGTGCTCTTCTTTGGGTCTTCAAGAAGTTCCGTCGGTGATTTATGAAATCGTCGTTCTTTTATTTCGACATTATATGTACTCTGTAGTCTCGTTAATTTCAAGATGATGTTCTTAATTAGAATACCAGCAGTCAATGATTTGTATAAGCATATCTATGTATTAACATTGTTCATTTTGCTCTTGTAAACAAATCACCAGTGGCTTTTTGATCTTTATTGCATCTTGTCCTCGCTATCTGTAAAGTTTTCCCAACTTATTGTCTCAGAGACTGCTCTACAGTTGGAAGCTCTCGTTGGAGATCTTGAAGATGCTGCACTTTTTGTTATGGCTTGCCGCCCTGGGAATTTATTTTCAAAGAGGATTTCAGATTGGTCAGTCTCAATGGTAACAAGTTTCTCTGCCTGTAATTTGTTAAATGCATATTGGAATAGCAATTTAATTTTAGTGATGGATTGTTAGACAAAAATGTGCTTTGCTTTGCAGGATTCTGCTAGAAAGCATGATAAGTTGCTTCAGGCCATAAAAGCAATGAATGATATTGAACAAGTGTTAGAGACAGTTGTGAAATTCCACTCTCATTGGCATAGTATTGTGAGGTCTGTTGACAATAGAGTGGACAAAATATTGGCTTCTCTTCGTCCACAAGTTTTTTCAGATCACCGAGCTCTTCTTGCTTCTCTTGGTTGGCCACCAAAATTACTTACCTCAAATGTTGGAAATGGACAAATCACATGTATTCCTAACCCACTTGTTCTAATGCAAGAAGAAAAAAGGAGAAGTTATTCAGAAAGTTTCATAGCACTCTGTGCCTTGCAACATCTGCAAAGAAGAAGGGAAGATAGACAGCATAATTTTGTGAAACAAAAGAAGCACAATATGCAGCTTTGGGCTATCGATGAGCTGGTTTCTCCTATTGCATCAAGGATGGAACACCATTTTGCCAACTGGATTGAGCAGCCAGAGTATATATTTGCTCTGGTTTACAAAGTTAGTAAAGATTTTATTACAGGGGTTGATGATGTCTTGCAGCCCCTAATTGACAGGGCAAGACTCATCAGTTGTAGTGCTAAAGAAGCATGGGTCTTTGCAATGGTTCAAGTGCTTTCTTGCTTTCTAGAAAAACGAATTTTCTCTTTGCTTGCTGACAGATACAAAGTAAAGCTTATGAAACTTGATGCTATATCCTCATGGCTTCGCTTGATAGACCTTATTGTTGCGTTTGATAAACAGATGCAATCTCTTGTTAATCTAGACACTGGTATCTTCTTGATAGAGTCTGAAAAGATTGATGGGCTCTCAAGAGGTATATCTGTTCTAACAATATTCTGCAATAGGCTGGATTGGCTCAGGCTTTGGGCAAAAATAGAATTCAAAAATGCCTGGAAGAAGCTTAAAGTGGAGCTAAAAGAGGAGAAGATGTGGATGATTGATAATAAATCTACATCTGGGTTTGACAGGGATTTGGATTCTGTGCATCGTATACTTTCTACTGTAGAAGACCACAGAGCTCCTCCTATTGTGGAAGTTTTCCTTAAAATTGTTTGGGAAATGACTGAACGCTGCCAAACTATGCCATCTATAATATCACGTGCGCGATTTATTAGATCTACTGCAGGAAAATTCCTCTGGTGTTTCTTTAAGATATTGCTCTTGCGGTTCAAGACAACTGAATTGCATCCTGATGATCCTGACGAAGATGCTATCGTTAGAATATGTGGATTAGTAAATGCTGCCAGATATATTCAAACTAAACTGCGAGAATGGGGTGACAGTTTGGAATTTTTAGAGTTGAAAATTGCTGAAAATGAGTCTAGCAAGCCCATAGAAGATGATGCAATGGATAGCAGTTCCTTTTATAGTGAAGAAATAAGAAGCTTGTCTGAAATGGAAATTAACTGGCTCATGGAGATTATTGCAGCCATTCTTCGTCAGTTTGAACTCGTTTCCTGGGAATATGTTGAAAATAAAGATCATTTTGAGCAAGACCAAGATGACAAAAATATAGTTGGTTTGACACAGGCAATTGATTTAACAGTCTCTACTGATTTCGTTGAAGCTCTGGATGCTCTAAAAAGTTGGCTTCGTGTTGTGAGGATAAATCTCAACTCAAAGGATTTCTCAGATTTGTGGAGAAGCCTTGCAGACGGTCTAGATCATTACATTTCTCGCAGCTTTGCCACAAATGAAATCTGCTTCTCTTGTAAGGGGATCCATCAGTTTGAAGCTGACATGCAAGCACTGCTCTTTGTTTTTCAACCTTTTTGTGCCCGTCCTCAAGCATTTTTTCCCTGTATTAAAGAGATTCTTAAGCTTTTAAAACTGAAAAAAGAAGAGGTAAAGCAATTGCAGGCTGTTTTATCCAATGGTGAAAATAGAGCAAGATGTTTGCGTCCTCACGGCATTTCACATCTATCAGTCAATCAGGTTGCTCAAGTTCTGAGAAACAGAAATTTTGCATCTGCAATAACGCGAGGTTGACCGAAGGGCAAGTGAAAGAACTTCCCACTTGTATCATCCATGACAAAAACATCACCATATTTCAGTGATAAAAATGTCACTGAACTCAACAATGAAATTCCTGTCATACATGCCCATTGGATTCGAGTTGGTAGGTGGAGCAGATCAGCAAGATACCAATTTTTAATGCGTTGGAAGCAAAAGGCTGATTGGGGAGTCAGAAAGCTCGTCTCAGTCCTTCTCCTGCCTTTTAACTGCCGCGATGGAGGGTTGTAGGGTTGTACCGAGAAAACCCATGAAGCGAAATTGTCCGTTTTAAAAGGCGGGCAAAAAAAAAAAAAAAACTTCACGATCACTCCTGATTCCATGAATTAGTTATGTGGATAGAACTACGGCAAACAGCATTCTCTTGCTGATCTGATCATTCTCTTTTAGAAGGGGATGGTATCCATGTAGATGTCAGAGTTAACCTTGTGTTCTTGCAGTATGGGGATATCGTGTTATGTGATTCGGAAAAATGAAGAGCCAACTTTAGTGCTGCTAGCTTGCTAGATTTATGGCTTCTTAAAACTTATTGCTCCTACCAACCAGGTGGGCGATTTTGTAAACCAAGATTGTACGTAGCATTCAAACGGCAACATCAAGAGCAAATTTTGATAGCTCCAATTTCTGGAATTCTTTTAGAAAGACAAATACAATAACTTCTCTTACGTTCGTACACTGCTCTTATACAGGTACACTTGGTGTATTGGTCTAGTAGCAAAGTAGTCCCCTTCTATCTCCACAAAGCTAGTGTGGCCTCCTTTCTCATTGAAAAGAATAGTCTAGCCAGGAGAAGTACTCCCATGAGAAATGAGTATTCCAAACTTTTGTTGAGCACTGCGCCTAATTTTTTTGAATTTAATTAAGTTAATTAGCGAGATCTTATATTTAAAATATTTAGAACCAAAGAGAGAAACATATTTTGTAATTTATGATTAGAATATGACTCTGTAGATTTTAAAAAATATTGATGGTTGTTATGTATGAGTGGGTTAATTGTGAATAAAATGGGACGTGAATTAGGAAAGTAATTAAAACTATAGAAGCAGTGACCTCCACTAAAAATAATGCACATTGTATTCCAAGTAATTCATTAAAAATAACAAGAAGGCAACATACAGCCATTTCAGTTTGACTTTTTTACTTTTGTTTCCCGCTTTCCACAGCCACAAACGTCCAATCATTTTTTTTTTTTGGGCCTTCCCCTTCATCCCGTCTTTTCGTTATATGCTTCCTTTGTGCGGATGATTTACTCTATATCTGGCTTAATTTAAAAAATATTATATTATATAAGATAAATATGTGAAAACAGTTTTATTTTTTAAAGCATAAAATTATTTTTTTTGGAAATGATCTCAAATAACTACTGAATTGCTGACGATAAGACTCATTATATATGAGCGAAAATATAAATTTAAATTCTCCAATAATATAAAAATAATCTCATTCGTCCCTAATGAATAATTATCTTTGTAACTGCCTCACTTCTATCTCAGAATTGTTTTTTTAAAGATGTAATTGGTTTTGAAATTGAGATTAAAAAGTATATATAATAAAATGTTTGTATAAATTCTAGGATGCTAAAAATATATAACACTCGTGATATAGCAATAATCACAAAATTAACAAATAAAAAATCACAAAAAAGATCTTAAAAATAGAAAAATTACAATTAGAGGCATGTTACAATATTATTATTTATTTTGATAATAATTGATAAGCAAACGATAACAATTTTTGTGGTTACAATATTATTATTTATTTTGATAATAATTGATAAGCAAACGATAACAATTTTTGTGAACAGTCCTTGCATATAATTTTTTAATTTTTAAGATTTTTTTTAACGATTTTCTCAATAATAAATGGGAACTCTATTGCAGAACTAAATGAATTAAGATTTTCTCAAACATGTTCCTTAAAATATACCCAAGGATCTGCATTGAAAAAAAGTATATGCATGCATTGGCAAAAAAAAGTTCCATGAATTCATTTGAAGCTAAACTTTTAATGACTTTGTAGTCTTTATAACAAAACTTCTACTCCATTTAATTTATAAATATTAAGAAAATTAGTTAACTTATTTATTAGTAATAAATATATGTTGGTTTCTTTAGAATATCACTTTTATCGTTTTATCCATTGATGAAAACATTCTTTAATATATATAATTAATAGTTATAATTTAGAAAAAAAGTTAAAGTAGATTGAAATATTATATTTAAGATTAAAATAAAATTTTCAATTAGCTTTTATATTTTAGGATTATAAGGAGTATTTTATTCCATTGCTTTTGGATCTTGTAGTAAATTTAGATGTGGGTATTGTCTAAAAGTGTAATTTTCTTTTTAAAGAATGATTAAATCATATAGAAGTGTAGCGAATAAGGTAAATCAGAAGAGTGGGCGGCCGCGGCTCCCACCATAAAAAGGAAGCTTCATATATAAATCTGGGAAGAATCTTAAATGATGGGTATTGAAAACGACATTTTGATTAATACTGAAATTGACGCTCAATTATCAATCAATATATTATAATTAAATACTACCTCCCGTCCTAATTATAAGATCCAGTTGATTAATTTGAAGAGATTAAGAAACTTAATTAAGTTAACTATTTATAATGAATAAATGATGTTTTTTCTAAAATATCCTTGCTAATCAAGTTCGTTATCTAGAACTATCATTATTAAAGGACTATCTTAAAAAAAAAGGATAAATATGATAGACAAAGTAGATTGGGGTCTTATATTTATGATCAAAATAAAAGTCAAACAAGATCTTATATTAAAAATTGGAGGTATTACAATATATTGCTACTATATATTACCCTTAATTCATTTTACTTTTTTAAACTTTCTAGATCTAGATGCGAATATAAATTTTGATGTTCCAACATATTACAATTCGAGTAATATTCTTTTTTTTGTTTTTAACGAGGACACCAGGACAGGAAGAATTAAACCTACCTAAATTCCCTGGTAAATCTAGCAGTTAATAATTATTAATATATAAAAAAAAGGCAACAATAATTAATAACTGTGGTTGTGGAATAAAGATAAGACATAAATTGAGTAGTGGTAATAATCATATCATAATTGAAAATTATGTACGAATGAAATGGGAATTATAAGGTTAAAATTCCTCGTATCTATAATTGATTGACACCCACAAACTTATGATGTTAAATCATAAGATGAAGAAACCATTAAAAAAAAAATTAACCGTACAAGATGCTTGTAATTATTTATATAAATAAATACAAATATAAATGTCATTGTTGGATTAGATTTTATATAATTGATAGGAAAAAATAAGTGATGGATAATAATAGAACAAGAATCTCTGGTTACTCCACTAATCATCCTTGACATGTAAAAACACTAATTAAAGTGGGAGATATGAAACAAAGTTGAGTTCCACTACTTCCACCTACCCTCTTCTTAATCATTCAATTTTAGTTTAAATTTCTTGTTAATTTTGTTAATTACTTTCTCATAATATTCTTTTCTCTTTTTTTCCTCTTTCTTTTTCTCTTTTTTCTTTTCCTTTTTTTTTTTTTTCTTTTTCTTTGTTCCCTTCGGAAGCATCTTTGAGGCACTTCACAACTTGCCCATTATTCATTGTATCCAACTAAACAAACAAATTGAAAAAAATAAATTAATGATTCTGGTGCAAAACAGGTGTATTGAATATATATATATATATTCAAAATAATTTATTAATTAAACAAATATTAGTTCATGAATACATCAGCAACACAAAGATATATTATTTTATTTTATATTTCTTCTTTATTATGCAGCCGAAAGACTTCCGCCAAGAACCATTAACAGAAGATCGAGCAATACTGAATTAATCAATAGAGCAAAAATAATTTTGAATGTTAATTCAGTATAATACCATTAGATATTATAAAGATCATACAATACATAAAATACATGACACTGAATTAATATTTTTATCACTAAACTTATTTGGTGATAAAATTTTGTGTAGGGAAGATGGAATAATTATAATAATGTGTAATAAGAGATTAGTTATTGTACTGTTAAGTATTTAACAAGTGATCCACATGCTCCGATATTTTCATTTATCTTGATGAAAATTTTGGACTTTTTTATGAGCACAAAGGCAGTTAGAAAATACAAAATTCAGAAAAGGAAAAAAGAAAGAAATTGAGAAGAGAAGAAGATGAACCTTCACTTACTCATCCAGATATCTCTGAACATTGATCATCAAGACATTATTGGCATATGTGGAAAATGCTTTTACACACATAGATATAAATCTTAGTGTATCTTAAGCTATGATCCAAAAGAGCCTAGATAATTAAAAAAACAAAATTAAGAAAAAGATAAAAGAAAAGAAAACAAATTCAATTGTTGGAAGTCACTTCAATTATGTTTAGATACTTTGATCTGTACTATTATCCTGTTTCATGACAATGAAATTGTTCGGAATACATGTCTAAAGGCAAAACCCGGTTTCAAAAAGCTAACCTTTATATGCACACTTCACTTGTGAGACTCTTCGATGTGGAATTTATAACAAAAATTGGGATGACAGATTAAAAGAAACGATAATAAAGGCATTTCCAATAAGATTGAACCGAGAAAATTCACAGACTACACTGAAATCGAGTTGGATAATACTGCTTGGCGAAAAATCACCCCATAACATAATTAATAACAAGTGGACTAGAGACGATATTGATTCACATTAATTTCTTTTGAATTTACATCAAAATTGCATATCTCATGCTATCACTAACCATTAGATGATTCATCTCAGAAATATGTGCAAAATGATCAGCAGAAGATGAAGAGAGCCAAACTCCATCAGAAGCAGCAGAACCTCCATTAACATGGGGACTAGAAACACAAGACAGAATAGAAATGGGAGCTTGAAGAATACAATATATTATCACAGAAAACCCACCATGCCTTCTTCTTCTTCCTCCTCCTCCTCTTGCTTGATGATGACCACCTTCGTCCGCTTCTGCTATTTCTCTGTCATGCCCAAACATTCCTGC